AATATAATAAATGCTGCATGACTGAAGGACATCTCTGCAGAGGACTGCAGTGCAGGGATGGAAAGCTTCTGTAGGGAAGCATAGATCACACAGTACTGAAATTTTACTGTACTGTATAGTAAATGAATTGATTAAAGGACCTTTACAGAGACAAATACAAGCATTCTGGTACCAGAGTTGATGTGTATCAAGTGTTTCAATCCATTAGTGCATTTTGGATGTTACATTAACAGCTGTGTTGAACTGCATGTTGGTAAAAACAACTAAACATTTTCAAGGGAACTTAGTATACCTGAAGGTCCTGTACCATCAAATGTTTGGACACGCCTACTCATTTAAAGGTTTTTCTTAAACATTTCATGTAGTGAGCAAAACAAGTTCACAAAGCCTCACAAATCAAAAATCTGAAGTGCATATTGAGGCTTGCTTCGTTAGGAGGCGAGTGACGTCGCTGATGACGAATGAAGCCTCCCTAGTTTAGGAAGGGGTTTGAGTGTTTTGATTTATGAACATAAAGCACAGTGAATCACCGTAGACTTTGCGTATCAGTGTTTATGTTAGAGTTTTGCCAATTTGCCTGTGACATAGAGAAACTAGTTTTTATGGAGCCTAAAGGGAGAAGGGTTTCCCCTGTATGGAAACACTTCTATACTACTATAATATTCACATGTGAAAGAGTTTTCTCCAAATCCAGAGAAGTTATTTCCAAAAACAAAACTGACTGTGTCCAAGCATAGTGGAAAAAATATTGTTTCTTAGTAAAAATCAATAAAGTCGTGATCACCCCAGTATTCATAAGTACAATCACTGTACCCAACTTTAAAAAACATTGCAACAGTTTGAACATAAACGTCTCATGTCCTGTTGGATATATTTAAACATTGACTGAAATCATACTGGCAAGTTTTGTTGACATTAACAGACTTCTATTACCCACACATGAATCAAAAACAGATTAAATAAATGAATGACACAAAATCAGGGCTGCAAGGTGGCGCAGTTGGTAGCACTGTTGCCTCGCAGCAAGAAGGTCGCCGGTTCGTGTCCCGGTGGGGGCATCGGAATCTTTCTGCGTGGAGTTTGCATGTTCTCCCCATGCAGTGTGGGTTCTCTCTGGGTCCTCCGGCTTCCTCCCACAAGGTCCAAAAACATGTTGAGGTTAATTGGTGATTCTAAATTGTCCGTAGGTGTGAATGTGAGTGTGCTTGGTTGTCTGTCTCTAAGTGTAGCCCTGTGATAGACTGGCGACCTGTCCAGGGTGTCCCCTGCCTTCACCCTAAGTCGGCTGGGATAGGCTCCAGCCCCCCCGTGACCCCAGTGAGGATTAAGCGGTGTATAGATAATGGATGGATGGATGACACAAAATCAAAGTAAGGTGTTTTTATTTCTATTCTTGGCACTGATTTTTTCCCATGCTGACACTGTTGCAAGACAGCGAAGAGGCCGTCACAAATAGTTTATTTGTTAAGTTATGCCATTTGTATTTTTGCTGAAAGACGAGACTTCCGACTCTAATTTTGTTGTGTGTATGGAAGCGTATGCATAATGACAATAAAATGGATTCAAATTCTGATGGTTGAAATGACAATACATTTTTTTAATCAGTAGGGGGGTTTATGTGAACTCGAAGCCTCGAGAAATTAACCTTTTTTTAATCAATTGCATAGAAAGCTTCAAGGCTATATGAGGCTTCATCTGGCCATCACTACTGTAAGTGTAAAGCTCAAAAAATATGCTTACTCGTCCTGTGCTTCCGGTCCGTCAGGGTGTTCGGACAAATGTGTCTCCTGGTTGAAGCACCTGTTGTAGGTTCTGGGAGGGACCACAGGATGAAATGGTGTGGGGGGTGTTTTGTTCAGGTTTTAGGTGTTTATTTATGGTTTTATGGGTGTATTGTAAATATGTTGATTTTTTCTTTGTTAAAGTTAATGTTTGTAAATATATGTTACTATATTTAAAAAGGCTTTATAGAAATGTTAAATAAAGTATTTAATTTTGTCAAAGAATATAGCCTCCCTGTGTCTGTGGTGGCGGGTTAAGCTTCCTGGTAGGAGGCTTTAAAGGGCTGTCAGGATCTTCATTTGGGAGCTGCTACCGGTTGAAGCAACATATGCTCCTGAGAAGACCTTTTTTGTTGAGCCAACTGGTTCGAGAAAGGGTTAATTTCTTGAAGCTTCATGTGCACACGAAACCACCTACTGGCCAGGTGTATAATCACAGCCGGCTGAATCTTAACACGTGTGATGCATTGAATATATGTGTCTGTTATGGCTCTTGGGAATGACTATGAATTACAAAAAGTGTATGACCAAATAATTTGTCTACATAAATGATCACATATGTGTATAATAAAATATTGTTGAATGTTTTCTCTGTGTGTAATTTTTCCCAAAATAGTGACCATACACGTCACCCTATTAGTGATTCCCCATTCCTCCACCAGGGAGGCTTTCACACAAGCTATCTTATCAGCAGTGTGTGACTGGGGGAATGCCTGCACTCCCAACAGCATCGAACTGAGCCTTGTGTTCTCCTCCACAAAATGGCATGTTACAGCCAGGTAGGCATCCATGTTGATGGATGTCCACATGTCAGACGTAAGGCTAACAGCAGCCACCTTCTCCACTTTAGCCTTAGCCTGCCCCTTAGCAGACTCATACTTGGCCTCTACCATGGCCTTTAGGGCCTAAAGGAAAAATATATAGTGCTGAATTGTGAGACATACAATAAAGTACTCATTCATTTCATGTATGCACCCACACATAGCTGCCTTGTAGGGAGAACATAATAGGGATCCAGTTTGGACACAAATGTTCTGAATCCAACGTCATCCACAACACTGAAAGGCTGGGTACCCTTCACTATCATGGAGACTAGGGCTTCATCCAGCTCTTGTTTTCTGGTGGCTGGTTAAAAGAGAATAAATAGTGTCTGTTACCAGTCTTTTTTTGCACAATAAACAAATGTCAGCATGGAAAAATTGTGATGGTGCATAATATTGTAATGACTTACCTTGGCTGGGTGACGCTTGTTGGAGAAAACTGTCTTTCTCCTTGTGTTCGTTTCTAAAGATGAGATTCAGTTCGGTCTCAATCAATCAATTTATTTACACATTGAATATTGCATTACAGATCTCTGGGTCAAACTCTCCCTAGCATCAGACAGAGCAAGACTACTCCTTTTGCCTCTGACCCTTCTTTTTACTACTAAGTCGCATGATGCCTGTTCAGGTTGTAAAACAACTGATTGGGGCCCATCTTCATCACACTGAATAGTTGCCTCCTTATATGGATTTCTTTTCCTCCGTCTTTTTCTCCGTCTGTTGCTTGTCCTGTGAAACCATATAAGGAAAAGACCCAAGCAACTTCTTCAAAAGAAGACATTTCATGACTATGTGCATATATGTAACTTCTTTTATATTTTAAACCTTAAGGACTATACTTCACACGTGATATAATATATTTATACACAACAAGCTCCAGTTTCCTCCCTATTCTCATTCAAGGCACGGTAGGGCCTTAGCATGGATGAGGTGTTGTTATTGCATCCCAACTCCTCGGAGCACAATAAACATTTCACCTTTAAATAAAATAAGAAACAGTGAAAAATACAGTTCTTCATAAGTAAACCTAATGCATCTGAAATATTGTTAATTGCAGCTTACCTCATTATTTTATTATTAGGACGGAACAAATCAAGATGCTCCCACATAGGGGAAATCCTCCTCTTCCTATCTGGCTCCATCCTCCTCTTATCCTCTCCTCACTCTCCTAAATCTACTATCTCTCTCGCTCCTAAACTCTCCAAACTCTAAACTATCTATCTCCACAAACTATATAAACGCTATCCAAACTCTAGTATCCACACAATCAAGACTCTATCCATACTCTGAACTGACCGCAGCTCGCCTACAAAAGCCTTCATTTTGAATGGAGCCTGTGGGGTTTATAATGCTGCCAAAGCCTGCGCCAAAATCTGAACCACTTGACGAAGCAGTCACGTGGTACAGCTGGGCAGCGAGACTTCGGATGTCATCGTTTTCGGCTCCTTCCCTAAATGAAGCAAGACTCGATACGCGCTTCCCGGAAAGGCCCCCTCCATTACTCGACACACGCTTAGAAGCCTCGGCACATCTTGTAACATCACTACTTCATATCATATCATCATATACATCATATCTTGCTATCATACTCGGCCTTCAGCCTCTTCCGTCCAGCTGCTGGTGGCCGTTCCATACACCCCTCATGTAACCATGGTAACAGTAACTCCCACGTGTAAGCCTCATGATGTCTGTGGTTGAAAATGTCCTTATCTTGATTCCCATTAAAATTGTCATCATTACTTAAGTTTAGCTGTAAGTGTCTGCTGTTCAAGTAAAAAAGTTCCCTTTACTAAGCTGCTTTTTGTAATAACTATAAATGATTCCTTTCATATATTAAAGAGTTTCAAAATAACTCAAGTGTGAATTACATTTTCATTTACCTACATATGCTGCCAACTTCAGAAAACCTCATATGTAGCAGGTTTGCGTTTCACTTCCCCAGCAAGTTCTATGTGCCAGTTCTTCTTGACTATTGTGACTTGCAGCTTCTTGTCTCTTGCGTCATAAGAAAACAGTCACAGTTGGAGAGTTCCTCTTTCTTCTTACCAGCGTCTACTGTTGGAGTTTTATTCACAGCAGTGTACTGAAACATCTCTTTCTATCAACAACCAGTAATGATCATTTTAACGTCACAATGTTTTCAGATCACAAAAACAATCAGAGCTGCCTTCACATGAGGCTCCCATCTTAATCTAATTAAAGGTAATCTATAAATCCACAATGTGATGTTTTACTTTCTTAGTCACATTTCCCACGAAAATTTGCTGCAGCAGCTTCAGCGATCACTTTGTTTTCTAAAATAGGCATCTGAAATGAATCATTTCCTGCTCTGAGCTGTCAGTCTCTGCCCCGTCAACATGTGACATATGTAGATGTGAAACTCACAGTTACCTCACTAAGCAAACCTCAATCTGGCAGGAACATGCTATGTATTGAACTGCGGCAACATAGGAACAAAGAGACACGATGTGGATTATTCTTTGTCTAATCACCCTCATCGGCTTTTCTACATCCCAGACTGGTGGTGAGTATGCTTCACATGTGATTGTTGTTTTGTTTAAACTTGTGAGGTGAACTTTAACTCTTAATATATCAAGGTCGTAGATCATCAAACCAAGAGAAAAGTCTCTCACGGTCCTCTTGTCAAAGGCTGGGGGGACGCTAGTACAGCTATTAAACCAAGAATGCGATGTGTTGAGGTTTTAACCTATTTAGCTGCTAATTTTATATCCAGTATACCTCCATTAGTTGTGCTAATTGTGACTTCTTCTGTGTGTGTCACTTTGACAGACCTCTGTGACGATCTCGTCAATGATTGTCGAAAGGATCATATCAGTTGGTTCAGGTAATGGTAGTGGTGGATACTAACTCTTTCATATCATAATTGTCAAAAAATAAATAAATAAAGAAATGACAGAGCCTTTTTCTTTGCTATTTACTTATAGCCTAAAGTCGACTTAGCTGTGTTTGTTCACCCAAAGCCAATCAATACTTATTACAGCAGAATAAAACTGTAATGAATAATAACTGTGTAACTCTGTGTTCGAAGTGCTGAAGTGTGTTAAATGTGTGTTGGTAGTTGTTATGAGGACAGAGTTGCAACCTGTAATCCTGGACCAATGGGGCGTCGTGCGTCAGGCTTCTTTCGTGGCATGATGAACTCATCACTAGAGGTGAGGTATTTTTGTGAAGTCTGTTGCTTCTTATAAGTAACAAAGAAATCTGGCTTTTTGTCTACTTTATATGCCAACAAATCTGACCAAGTAAAATCCTGCTTTTTACTTGGTGTACTGTATATCCAATATGTGTACAGACTTATGGTTGTTTATGGGTTTCAGGCTGAAGCAAGGCCTACACCTCAACATGGAGTTCACATTCCCTCCTCAGCTCTCCAGCAAAGCATGAGAGGTGTGTCCGGGGACGCGGTCCTGCTAGTGGCCACAGTGATCAACAGCACCTATTTTAAGGTCAGTGGATGTAAACAAACAGATGAAACAGAACCTTAATCTTTTTGTGCATTGACATGTATGAGTTGTCAGAAAAATTTCAGGACTGGTGTCACAAAAGACATATTTCAAATCCAAACTACAAACTACAAATTTTCCCTTCGAAGTAATCCCCCTGGAGACTAACACACTTCCCCAGCCTTCTCTGCCATGCCGCCATCCACTCCTGGATGGATTCTTCCGGGATCCTTCGCAACTCCGTCCTCACAGCCATCTTGATGGTATCCACGTCTTCAAAATAGGTCCTCTTGATGACCCCCTTGAGCTTGGGGAAGAGGAAAAAAACACACAGAGCCAGGTGGGGTGAGTAGCGAGGTTGCTCCAGCACGGAGATGTTCTTCTCAGCCAGGAACTGTGGGATGCTCAGGAGCAGGTGTGTTGTCATGGTGAAGCAGCCACGACTTGTTCCGCCACAACTCTGCCTCTTCTCGTGCACTGAACGGGTTTGAAATATATCTTTTGTGACACCAGTCCTGAAACTTTTCTGACACACCTCGTATATTTATGTAATTATAATTATTCAAAGCAGCACTGTCCCTTATTTATTAACACTAATTGCCATGAACTGCATCCACTCACAGTCAGCTGTTGTCCACTTTGAAAATCAATGGACGGTTGATCCCACGGCTAATGTTGCTGCAATTCTTCCACCATTTTTAAAAGATGATTTACTTCTAATTAACTTCACACCAAAAATGTCATGTGTCCAATCTGCAACCTGTTATTGCAGCTGACAGGTCCCAGGCAAGGAAGAGGAAGGGGGATACGACGCCAGCCTGCTCACATACCAGGCACTGTTTTGGGGGAGTCAGTCCTGGCAGTAAGGGCAGGAAACCATCCAGTCAGGAACCTCTCACAACCGGTCAGGTTGATCTTCAGGCACGACAAACCGGTAAAATGACAAACCTACCTTTGCTGCACTAATAATCATTTCATTCAGTAGGTTCATTCAGCCTAGAAACTTAAGTTCCTCTGCTGTCTTAAGAATGTTAGTTACCAGTACTTAGATTAAATAATTTCTTCAAAGTCATCTTTTGGGTTGTGAAAGTTTAAAACTAACTAAGTTAAGAATCAAAAGTGAATTCAACCAAGAGTCACAGCAAGTTTCCACGATGTTTTCTTAAACTACAAAAAACTAGTGTTTCTGGTGAGTTTTAACTATTTAATATTGTCAGTTTATGTGCTAGTTTTGTTTCAAGTAAACTCTCAGCTGTATATTCATTCACCTCATCATTTTAGGCCAAAGTGCCCCAAGTTATAAGAACTCATGTTCCTGAAATTTACCACCGTCGCCTCACAGCTAGAAGGTCGCTGGTTCGCATCCCTGTTAGGACACTCTGGATATTTCTGCGTGGAGTTTGCATGTTCTCCCCGTGCAGCGTGGGTTCCCTCCAGGTTCTCTTGCTTTCTCCCACAGTCCAAAAACATGTTGAGGTTAATTGGTGATTCTAAATTGTCTGTAGGTGTGAATGTGAGTGTGCTTGGTTGTCTGTCTCTAAGTGTAGCCCTGTGATAGACTGGTGACCTGTCCCGGGTGTCCCCTTCCTTCACCCTAAGTCAGCTGGGATAGACTCCAGCCCCTCTGCGACCCTAGGATTAAGCGATGCATAGATTATGGATGGATGGATCTTCCTGAAAAAAGAAAAAGAAAAAAAAGGAAAAAAATTATATAAATGACATCAACTTCAAATTACGGAAGCCGAGAGCGGTCGTTTTCCGCTGCTGTTCTTTCTTCGCCGTTTTCTCGAGATAACGAGTTAGTTTTCTCGTTATCTCGTGAAAACGAGATAATTTATCTCGAGAAAACCAATTTGTTCAGCCTGTGTCATACCTCGAGAGAAGTAAAGTCTGATGCGTTCATCAATGACAGATGATCCTCGATCTGACATTTTCAGTCCGTTCTCGGCAAAGTCACTGCTGCACTCCAGAGCGTCACTCGTTTCTTTGTAAACACAGGCATCAGTATCCAGGGATAATTATCTCGTTATCTCAAGAAAACAAACGCCGTGTTCCTGAGATAACGGAATAATTATCTCGTTATCTCGAGAAAATGCAGTTTAAAAAAAATGTGTGGCCATGATCGCTCTCGGCTTCCGTAGCAAATTAACAAAACTCACTTTTTTTTTTTTTTTTACAATAAGTAAACCAAAAAAAATTAGCTGATTTGACTAAATTCTCTAATGATGTTTTACAGTGTAGCATCACACTCAAAAAACACATTTACCTCTTTTCCTTTTACTTTGGATTTACTTTTTGAAAATGTGTTTCAGGTTGGAAACGGAACTTGTGTGTTTTGGCAGGAGTCCACGATAGACGATGGAACAGGTAAGTTAAGAAAGCCTGCAGTACTTTTATGGTTAAACAAAAAGGAGAACTCAAACTTGCACATTGTGTTTTAGGTCACTGGAGCACAGAGGGCTGTGACACCAATCACACTGGATCTGAATTTATTTGCAGCTGCAACCACCTGAGCTTCTTTGCTGTGCTTGTGGTAGGATGATGACATTTTTACCGCACATTTCCTCTGAGAATGAGTAATTTTGTTAACCCGAACTGAATCTCTCCCCCCTAATCTTGTTTGTCCAACCATGATTTAGATCATTAGCTAACTAGTTAACCAGTTTGAGAGGATATTTGAAAAGTCCTATAGCACATCCATACCATGTAGAACACAATAACATTCCAGCCATCGTATTACCCCTTTTCATATAAGAACTTCTACTCAGGCAATATCAATATCAATTTCAGAACATGTAATTGGCCACAAAATTGTCATGTACAGAGTTTGGAATGCACTTAACAGAGGCATAGGGCAGAGCTTTACTTCATATATATATATGCATAAACTCATAGGCTACAGTCTCCTGCGTCTACATTTTATTTTGAATTGTACCTTGTTTTTTCAGAACCCAGTATTATCAGTGGATAAAAGGAATGCTGTGTATCTTGACTATATCGCCTACATTGGATCAGCTCTTTCCATTGTCTTCACATTTATCAGCTTGATCATCTATATTCGTCTACAGTGAGTTTTTATTTTTTTATTTTCTTTGACATACAACCATTATATCTGATTCATGTTAATAGGACACAATATAAATAGTGTTAGATTTAAGAGTGCATCCACGATAGGACCAGGAGGGGGTGGCATGGATTTCGATGAAACTTGGCCAGTTTGATGGGGTCCACCCAACTTCAGTCTAAGATTAAGGAAATTTGGTGAAAACAGGGGGAGTTATTCACCCCCTTGTTTTGATTTTTTTTTTTTTTTTTTTAACAAAAATGACCAAAAATCGCCTTAAAAAATTGGTCAAAAGTATAAAGCTCTACTGCTATAATAATTGAGCCAAATCTTTTCAAATTTTCAGTGAATGTTATCCTACCCAAGGAAATTGTCAACGCTTCACTCTCCTATGATTAGTTCTTATCACACAAATCATGTCAGCCAAGACCACCCCTCTCATCCAATAGTAAAAACTGTTGAAATACCCAAAGTTTAGACCAAAACATCTCCAATGCCGGAGCATACTTTAAAAAACCGAGCAAACCATCCAAAAGGTGGGACTAAATACTAACATTATTTGCAAAAAAAAATCTTTGGGCACTCACTGAATTATTCTACAGGAGGACTGCAAACACTTTCTCCATCACAGGTTACCCGCTTCAATTTTTTTTATTAGAACGCCCAAATTCTGTAATTATGGTACAGCAACAGACAGAAAATGCAGCAAAATGGTTGCACACCATAAACTTTAGTGAAAGAGAACCATTTTGAAAGCTTTTGTTTGTCCTCAGTCATGAAAATAAGAATCAGCAGCTTAATAATGACCTCTACTATTGTATAAGTGAACTACGTGACAGGATTTACTCTTTGCTAAGTCAAACCAGGAGTCATAGAACACTATCAGAATGCTTACTTTGTCTGTATATGAATGTTAGAATGATTGTATGATAAAAAATTTGCTTTTGTTCATCCAAAAAAAGGAATAATACATTTGCTTGAAACTTGCACGACTGACATCGTATCTTAATACAGAAAACCTTATCAAAAAGACGTCTGAACTACTGGAAATCAGTTGATTTGGTTGTGACTCAATGTTGGTCGCTTAATAAGCCTAAAAAGGAGAAAAGCATTTGGCTGTAAAATAATCTGTTTGCTGCATCCTTTGCTTAGCTCTGTCCAAGACAGTTGTGATTAGTTTAAAGAAACAAACAAACCCGAGAACTTCTGTCTCTTATAGCAGAATGATTAAGAGGTTCAGTCAGACCATTCTATCCTGCAGAATACGTAGAATATGTTTGACTGTGGTTGCTGGGAAATAGTGAAAGAATCGTGTTGTGTCAGCTGTGATTATTAATTACACAATTGTGGAGTTGTTTGTTGTGTTTTCAGTCAAATGTTCATCGATGATTTAAAGATGTTTAGGGTTTTCCTGACTTTTGGTAGTTCAATAAATTGCATTAACATTGTAATGTCACAAACAGGCGGTGATCCTATAAGCACCTGATCAAACATGACTGGAAAATGAGTCCAATTTACTTTTTTTTTTTTTTTAAATGGGGATACATTGCTTAAAAGTATAGTGTGCTTTCTGATGGTATGTCCCGTTCCTCTTTTTTATACCATTCAAGCCCTTACAATCTCACATATTCAAACACTACAGCTGTGATGTCATCTATCTATATCTGTGAGGGATTAGTGCACCTTTAAACTATGAGGATACAGCCTCTGATTATCATGGTATGTCAAAAAACCTGAGAAAAATATAACAAGGACAGAATCTCATATCCAACCAGAGCATTCAATAAAAAAAATGTAGGGACTCATTGGACTGTGTGGAAGTATAGTGTTCCAGTTTAAAGTGCCAGATTGAACTGAATGAAAAAAACATTTGTCTGAAAACGATCTACTGTTGTTTCTCTTCTAGTCGGCGGCGTCCTGAGAAGGCCATCAGTGTGCATATGCAGCTAACTGGGGCATTGTTTTGCCTCCACCTTTGCTTTCTGCTAAGCAATTTTTCGGTGCAGCTGCTGAGTGAGAATGAGGACAGCGTGGCTTGCCAGATTCTGGGTTTCTTTTTACACTGGTCCATACTGGCCACCTTCAGCTGGACTGCTCTGGAAGGGTTTCACCTCTACCTTCTCCTCGTCCGAGTCTTTAACATCTACGTCAGGAGATACCTGCTAAAACTCAGCTTGGTGGGATGGGGTGAGTAGAGTTTGGTTGGGACAATGCTTCTCTCAATCGCTGTCCAACAGATCAAATACAGACAGAATTTTTAAGAACATTAGAGAGTAACAGCCATGTAGATGCTTAAAGAGCGACTTGCAGGTTGACAACTCTGTGAAATAGTGTGTAGAAAAATAACGTAGAAGCTAGATTAAAGATAAAATAAAAATAAAAATTCCATTTATGCACACCAGTAACATTTAGGGTTGACTTTGTATCTGTTGAATCAAAAAACAAAACATGGCTGTGATATCACAAAAATGACAGTAAGGTCCACTTTAACAATAATAAATATGGATTGTAGCAATAGTTTTGATACTAAAGAGGTTCATAATTTATATTTATGCATGTATGACAGACAGCGTCATAATTAGAAACCTAGTGGGTGTTAAAGAGAACAGGAACACATGAGGATGTGGTCATTATGCATTCATTCAGCATTCATTATTTTCAATTCAATTCAATTCAATTCAAATAACTTTATTTATCCCCTGGGGCAATTTAAAATTTTATGAACGAATGACATGAGACGAATGTGCTGTGATAATTTTTTTTTTAAATGTAGGGAATATAAACAATGTGGGTTTCTTGACATTCAAAACTATTCTGGTAAAAATGTTATATATTTGTTGAATTCAGTTTTGTTTTTTCTTTCTTCTTCTTCTTTTTTTCAGGCCTTCCTACTTTGGTTTCAGTGGTTTGTGGGATTTCAGGTGTTTATGGCAAATACACTCTACAATATAAGAATGAAGGCAACCAGAGTTCAGAAGCACAAATGTAAGAAACCATTACTGTTATGTTTTTAAATATGCATAGGAGGTTTGAATACTCTGCAAATTCATATTGTGATTTTAGCTGTGGTCAGATTAATTTACTGCCTCCAAAAAAAGCATATTTTCATTTCAAACAATTTCTCATTAAATATGTCATTCTTGGCTTTAATTTCTGTTTTTGTTTTTTTATGATGGGCAGATGCTGGATGAACACGCACTTCAAACAGCAGGCAGTTTTAGTCAGTTCCATCACCACTGTGGCCTTTCCCTGCCTGGTGATACTGTGTAATTCCTGCATGCTTGGACTGGTGGTGTTTAACCTCTGGGGGCTACGAGGAGGCAACAGAAGCTTTGAAAGCGGCAGTGAGCAGAAGAAGATGAGCAAAGAGAAATGGAGCAGATTATGGAAAGACAGCGCTACACTGCTGGGCCTCAGCTGTGTGATGGGGTCAACCTGGGGCTTAGCCAGCATCACATACATCACATATATTTCACTTCCTGGGTTGTATGCATTCACAATATTGAACTCCCTGCAAGGTCAGTATGTGAAAGATCTTCAGATATGGTATGCACTGGACTTTGATGATTTGCCGGAAGACTTCAATCTTTCTTTTCTCTTCTCAGGTGTGTTTATGTTCCTGTGGTCTGTGGCCTTGGCCTGCAAGTCTCGATCTGACCATAACACATCAGTCAGAGACCCTTCTACTCAGAAAATGATGACAACTAGTTTTAGTAACTGATGTTCACAGCAAAGAAAAAATGTATTATTCATTATGGGTCTTCACTGACCTTTTGGGCTTCAGTCATAAGAAGTTAACTATAAGTCAGAATAATAATAATTTAATTTCCTGATGTTTTGCTGTTTCTTTTTTTTCCAATGTTTTATGTAGAAAATCACACATCATGATAAATATCCTTGTGAATAATTTTTTTTACCTGTAAAAACATTGTATTGTGTATGTACACGTCGCTACCTAGGTTCATAGGAGCTAAGAGTAATAGCAATAACCAACGGACACAGGTACAAGTAGTTGTGATTTTTTTTTTAGTTTCGAAAAACCACTGAAACAGTGCACAATGTAGTTACAATGCAATACATATGGGCCCAATAAACTAAGGAAAAAAATGTCTCTTTGAAAATGTTCTTCTGGAAATTGTTCATTGTGGATCCAAACAAAGTTCAAGTCAATAAATCGGGGGGATAGTCACTGTCAAGGAAAAATATCCAAAGTCGGCTCTTGTTGATGTTGGTCAGTGGACTGACACAATCCTACCAAAGAAGCCACTGAATGGTGTGGTGGAGACTCAAACTTCAACTGGGAGCATCAAAGTTCAACTGGGAGGCTCGCCATCAGCTGGATCGCTGGTCAGCCTCATTGAACACAAGGACTGGAGCTTCACTTTTTCCACACTTCAAATAAGACCTGACCAAGAAGGCGGTTTTCAACAGGTGAAGCCAGGACAAACAAAAGTGCTTCTTCAACAGTTCTCTAACAGTGGCTATTCTAGGTTTTATTTTTAGGGGGGCCAATAGGGGGCCTATGCTATATTTTGGGTGGCATCCAATTACTGATTTATTCGTAGATGTAGCCTATAGCAATTTTTCAAGAAGTGTTCTTTACTTGTACTCACATTGTATGACTAAATATAAACCTAACCTACTAAAATACATCTAACAAAATCAACATGATCTGGTCGGAACATACTTGGACAATATGGAATGTACAATAACTGCTACTTTCAAAAGCAACTCGTGAGTCAGAACTGTCACCCTGAACCTGTCTGGGTTCATTGGTCCTACCCTCACATGGCTTCTTCTTAAAACTACTAAAAATGCTGGCTGCTCATCTTTTTGACATTTTTGACACCCCAGGCTGCTGCTGTAACACAGACAAAATGCCACCATTCAGTTGGAACTCAAACGTGGGATTAGGAATGCCCTTGCTGCTCCCAAAAAATATCTGTGTAAAGTGTCTTCATTTAAGGTTAGTAGACTTTCCTTGTTTCAAAAACCTGCAATATCACTACATCTGCCATGTGCTGGTTCATTAAAGCTCTGGCTCCCATAGATCCCAGCTCTAAACAGGATAACAGAGATCACAAAAGACAGCTCAGGATTTTATTTTCATTAGTTTTCATGATCAAACCCAGAGATCAGCTGACCAATCTAAAAATAATTGAATATTGAATTTTATATAAATCGTCAAAGTTTCAGTCATGTGGGGGCGTGGCTATTTGATTGATGTGAGCAGTAAACTCCAGAAGTTGGTGCAGGTTATTTATGTGTGTATTGACCAGAGAAGAGAGTTAGCATCAAGAAAAATTTTAGCTTTAATGCAAATTAGCGAATCAGCTAGCTAACAGTCGTAGCCTGGTTAAAGTTAAATGTAGCAGCAGGTCGCCAGTCTATCACAGGGCTACACTTAGAGACAGACAACCAAGCACACTCACACCTACGGACAATTTAGAATCACCAATTAAGCTTGGACTGCGCGGGAGGAAGCCGGAGAACCCAGAGAGAACCTACGCTGCATTGGGAGAACATACAAACTCCACACAGAAAGATTCCGGTGCCCCCACCGGGACACGAACCGGCGACCTAATTGCTGCGAAGCAACAGTGCTAACCAACTGCTCCACCTTGCAGCCCCCAACACAATAATAAATTTGAATAAATCATGACAAAATAATAATAAAACTAATAATATCATATTATTTTGCCATATATTAACAATATTTGAATTATTAACAGATTTAAAATGAGTCTTTACTGCGTGTTTATTAATTTTAGGGTCACATGAGTGTGTATGTAGCTCGAAAAACTTTGCATCATCATGTGACCTTGGCCCGGGCTCTGATTGGCAGCTGCAGACTTTCTCACAGGGCGCAGCTCATTGCTTCCTGGACCCGCCCACTTTTGCTGTAAGCTAATTAATTTTGTCTTTATTTGCTTTTGTCTTCTGTGGTTGGATATCAGAACTGTCATTTGACGTTCTTACGACTGCACTGTTAATACATATCTGACACGGTCACACGGCCTTTCCCTTCCTGTGACAGCTTCTGTTGTGATGGCTTAATGCATTGGCCATGCTGCCGATGGAGAAGACGCTGCTCACAGAGATGAATGACTTCAACCAAAAAGTAATAGAGAAGTTTGCAGAGCAGAAAGAGAGAAGAGCCAATATTAAGTTCAATTAGTAGGGCTCCAGACTGCATTTGGGATCTTTTTTAGAGAGTGTGTGAATTGATGAGTATAATGATCATGAAGCTGTATTAGTGTCGCTGTACCTGGCACAGGAAGCTACTGTGTCAGTCACAGTGGTGGAAAGTATTACTTTTATAACTGGTGTATAACCACAGTATTTCTGCTTAAAAATAAGGTCTTGTGAAAAACAGAGCGCACCTGCATTCACTGATTTTCTGCTTGTAGAAAAGACTGCGTGTAGAATACGTGTAACTCAGTTTAACCTCTGACAAATCTGACATGAGAACGTCCTAGTTTATTATTTTTTAAAGTCATTTTTGGTCGCAAACGTGTCTGACCACATCACAGCCACCAAGCAGCAGCTACCACAGCCTGCTATGTGGGGTTTTTGGGAATCGTTGTGTCTAACAATAAGAAAATGTTCAGCAAGCCATACGTTTTGTGTGTGACCAGGTGGGAGGTGCGACCAAATGACAAAGTTGGTCGCACCGTTGCTACCAGCATTGAAACATCAACACATTCAGGACATGAGCCTCATTAATACCTTTATTGCACATTTAAAAAATACATTATGTAACCATTCTGAACCGGAAATGTGTCAAAGTATGTAATAAATGGATGAAATAAATGTGTTGCCCAGCTTACAGTGAAGTATGAACACTGAACATAAGACAGGTGTGCTTTATGGAAAGAGGGAGCTGAATCTGCAGTTCAACATTATTGTTATTACTGGAATAGATGAGGAGGACATCAGTGCTGCTCTTCCTAACAGGGATGAAGAAGGACAGAAGGCTCGTCACCTCAGACAACCTCAGCTAAATGTTCATGTTCTCTGTAGATCTTAGATCACATCAGACTAGATGTTCCCAGTGATCCACATCATGGCTGGAAGGAAAAGACACAAGCAGTAAGAAAAAGATCTACAAGTTTCTCTCATTCCAACTCCTGGAACATTAAATATGAGAGTGAACACAGCAGGATGTGACTGTAGCACAACATAAAATGTTTCCCTGGATGAGGCCAAAGAACATTTTACTGCCTTTGAAGGACAAAGTTGATTCTTTTTATAACAAAGTGTGATAATGTGATTAGTAGAGAAAAAGGAAATCTAACACTCTGATTAAATGAGCTCCACAGTTGTCTGATAAAACACTGTAGTAGAGAAACAGTGTGCTGGACTGATTTACATGGAGAAAGTAACTATGACTGACCTCTGAGGTTCAGTGTGATGCTCATGTCATGGTGATCACACCTCAGTAACTTCACTGTTTCTAAAGAGAAGGAATCATTTTCACAGATCAATTTGTCTCCGTGAAATGAACAAAAGCTGTTAAAAACCAAAGAGCAGAGACATGAACTGAACTCAGCTTCATTCATTGAACTGATAGAACATCAATCAGTAGCAGTGTTCTGAGGTGTAACGTTAGCTTGGTTTAGTTTCTGCTGATCATGACGTTAACAGACTGTAATAACGTCATCAATCCGTTATGATTGATCAGCTGTGACCAGGGGTGGACTGGGGCAAAAAATCAGCCCTGGCATTTTTGGCCCAGACCAGCCCACAACATTATTGGTTGACTGAATCAAGCACTGATTTTTGAATGCAAGGACCAAAAACTGACAGAAAGGTTGAATTTTTACAACAAAAATACGAAGACATCTTCAGAGACATCTACAGAGACCTGTACAAGGTTGTTGACAGGTTGGAAAAAAATTGCAATCCAGTAGAGCAAATACACTATCTGCATATATATGCTCTGCTTTTGTTGCTGCAGTGACACCTATTGGACAATAGGTTGTACACACACCAAATCAAAAAGACTTTTGCCCAAAAGCTTTTTCTTTTGGTGGCCATTCTGTGCTTTGGCTTGATGTCTTGGGCTGGCTTTCTCCCTCAAGTTCTTGAGTTGACTTGCCCTGAACCTGGCTGAGCTGGACATGGGTAGAGAGTGTATTATTGGATGAGGAAATAGCTCAAATACGAAAAATAAAAAAACAAAACATAAGAGCCATTCTCAAAATGAGTGAAAACCATTGTTTTAGAATCACAAAAAAACAACAACAACAAACAAACAAAAAAAACATGATTTAGTATTTTAACATTTTTGCCAAGCTTCATATACACTCACTGGCCACTTCATTAGATGTACTTGTCCAATTGAATGCAGTCAAATGCATCAGCTCTGCCTTTTGTCCCCATTAATGTATGTTAATTGGACAAAGGTATAAGGAACAGACAGCTCAATATAATGCACTCAAGGACCGCACCACCATCCACTATGGCCTCAATGATACACATTTTGTGGAATGATGAGACTCCTGACAATGTCAACAAAAAATAAAAATGTGTAAGCTTTGTAAAAATAGAAATTATGGCTTATTAGTTGCATTTGATTGCATTAGATTGCACAGGTGTACCTAATGCAGTGGCCAGTGAGTGTATCTACATATAAAATAATGAATAAATTAATATATTGATAATAAAATATTTGAGACTGACAGCATCAGCATGCAAAAGAGAATGGATGGTAATGGATGTGTTTAGCATAACTCAGTGACTCCCAAACAGCACATGACATGGCACAGCAAAAGGCATGTTTGCTCTATTACATTAATAGGCTTATGTAAAGTGACACATGCTAATGTGTCTGCATGCAAAAACAGCGTTTTTGTTTTTGACCATAGTGTGTCTTTAAAATGTATCTCTCTCTCAGCTAACTTCGCGAGTAGTTCTGCTTACAGATCTGTTACAAGGTTTTATGAGGAGCATTTTCTTTTTTGTCATTTTATTGTTGTTTGTGGCGTGAAGTGGACTCAGTCCCTCTTGGCATACATGCAGCCAGCGAGGTATATGCTAAATGTTTACAGTGTGTTTTAGTCGTGCTGCTAATGTGCGTATGTATTGTATTGTATGTATATGTGCATCTTTGACAGTTCGACGGTGGGTTTATGTGGAAATAACGGTAATATTGCATACAGAGCTCTTCCCCACCCCCGTCTTGGCCTCTCATCTCCATACTGCTGCCGCCAGCGTATCGTCTGCTGCTGAGACGGACCAGGGGTCCGTTTCACAAATCAGGTTCAACAAACTCTGAGTCTAATCCTGACATCTGAGTTGATCTACTCTGAGATAGGAAACTCTGAGTTTCCGGTTCCAGAACAGCAAATTTGAGTTCATTTAATCAACTCGGAGTAGTTTCACCTGGAGTTAAGCCCGTGCATCACAACTATAAAAAGTTAGCATCAATGGAGCCCCAATTCAACGAGTCACCATGGCGACCGGGAAGAGGAGGGTTGCGTTTTTCACCTCACTAGAATTGGAAATCTTAATGCACTCATACGGCGACAACACCGCTGCAGCTGCAAAACAGAAGAAGAACGGGCAAAAGGAAAGAAATGGTTTGTCACACTGAAGCACAATAGCAAACCCCAGAGGTGCCAGCTCGACTCAGGAGCCACGGCACCCCAAAGCAAATGGAAAAGCCAAATCAGCTGTCAAGATTGCAAAGAACCTGCTGCACAAGGCTGCTCAGGATGGCAATGACCCCTGGAAGGCTGTGTTGCACTGGTGCAATACACCAACGGTAAATATGGACAGCAGCCCAGCACAACATCTCATGTCCCGTTGTCTTAAAACTTCCATCCCTGTAACCAACAAACTCCTGGAGCCAGCAGTGGTGATGGGGGTTACGGAGAAGCTGTAATACAGGAGGGACTTAGAACTTGCAGTGGAGCATTTAAGACATCTCCAGTAGCTGCCTTGCAAGTTGAGTTAGGTGAGATGCCATTGCATATAAGGAGAATTCAAATAATGATGGCATACTGAGTTAATTTGCAGGGGCATAGAAGTTCTCACCCTACAAAGGCCATCCTTCAGGGCTGCTGGGAACATGATAAAATTCATTTTAACAGTTTTGGCTGGATAGGAAATATTATAGCAGAAATTTTAGGATAAAATCAGATAGAATACAGTCCCACAATCCCTGTCTCACCTGTTCCTCCATGGTTGTTCAAAATTCCAGTAATGGATCTTAATGTCCAAAAACAACTCAAAGGAAAGACCCCATCAAGTACACACAATTATATCCAGCAGCACTATAGTAATAAATTAATCATCTTCACAGGTTGTTTGTAACAGCCAGAAAATGGTGTTACTGGGGCAGCAGTGTTTGTCCCTCAATGGGGCATTGCTATTCAGAAAAGAACAACAGACTGTCTCTCTGTATATACAGTAGAATTAATAACAATCATTATAGCATTGCAGTGGCTGGAAAATAACTGCATCAAAAATACAGTGATAGCCTCAGACAGTTGGGCAGCCCTCACCAGTATCCAGTTATTAAAATCATGTCAACTAGACCTAGTGTATGAAATTCTTTTGCTGTTATACAAGTTACAGAGTAAGGGAATGACTGTCTGCTCTCTTTGGGTTCCTGCCCATGTTGGTGTGGAAGGGAATGAAAGTGTGGATAAACTGGCAAAACTTTCACTCAAAAATCAAACAGTAGACATAAAAATACCATTAAAAAAATACAAAAAATGTAAAAAAAAAAAACAAACAAACAAAAAAAAAACGGTCAAGAATACTGGGATTTAAATGATACATAAAGACACTTATATAAAATCCAAAAACATGCTGGTCAGAGCAGAAGGCTGGGCAGGAACCAGGCAGAAGAGGCAGTCATTCCCCTTCTGAGAACTGGACACACCAGATTAAATTATGCACTCCAAATAAACATAAAACAAACATCTGACTGGAGCATGTCAGCACTGTGACAGAAAAGAAATTGTTCAGCATGAGATGCTGGAATGTCAGCAATATGAAGATGAAAGGAAAAAACTATATGCAAAGTTGCAAAAAAACCAAGGTAAAGCTAACAGTGCAGAACCTCCTTGGGGGGAAAGGAAAAGAAATATTAAGAGAGCTCATTGAGATTCCTAAAAACACAGGACTTCTAATTTATTTTGGGGTTTTTTGTTTTTTTTTTTTTGGTTTGTTTTTCGTCTTGCCAAGCTTGCTCCACACTCCAGTCCGGTAGGTGGCGGTAATGCACCTAAATGTTGGATGCCACGCGCCAAATCAATCAATAGAAGAAGAAGCAGAAGAAGAAGCAGAAGCAGAAGAAGAAGAAGAAGTTGTTTGTGGTTCCCGGAAATAAAGGCGGAGTGAGCGCTCTAGCATTCTCCACCTCTCTGCCAGCCAGACTAACCAGAAACACACAACATGGATCCAAACACGACAATTCTTCGAGTCAAGAGAAAACGGGGAACCGACCCAGCAGACGCGTTGTTGCTGGCGTGTAAACGTATCCGGCCAGAATCGTCTCAAAGCACAGGCGAAACGGCACCGGAGCCCAACGAAGCCGAGGTGGAAAACTCGGTGTTCAAACTCGTGGCGACCGTAGCTACACAGGTGAGAGGCCCGCCGGATGACTGCTGTGTTAGCACTGCTGGCTAACATCAACGCAGCTGGCAATGAACATGTTAGGAAAGCTCTCGGAAAAAATAAGGCTCATTTAGCTTGGCAGTACAAACGTAACAATTTAGCACAGCTGAGCTACTTGTAGCAATGTGAATTTAACTACTTAAAGTGACTGTTGTTTTAAAACCACCTGCCTTGTATGCTAGTTGTTGTTAGCATAGCATCCGGCTAGTTAACGCTGTTGGCCAACATTAGCCATGTCAGCCCCAAACTACAGCAGCTTGTGCTATCGTTAGCTTATTTTGTTGACAGTAGACGTAGTTCTGACGTGACTATGGACCTCGAAAATTATTTGACATTATCAAAACGAAAGATGTGGTAACTTTAACGTGAGAACATATTTAAATACGTAATAATAAACGCCGAAGTCATACCCATCATACTTCGAGCTAATTAGATTAGCTAGTGAATATTCTATGTGGAATTTTACACCCACGTTTTATGATGTAGTTTTCATACAGACTAATTTAACAGCTTTTTATGCTCTTATTTGAAATGATGGGCATATGTGAACTTGTTGATGTTTTTCCCCTCACTGAGACATTTTGAGAATGCAGTTTTACTTTGATTCAGTGAGAATTAGGTTTGACAGTAAGAGATGTATGATGAGATGTTTTCAAGGTTTGGCACATAGTTTTGTTCCCCACATATTCTAGGAGTGGGGGATTAAAGTAAAATATATTCTTCTGTCCATATAAGAGACTAATTGATTCCAATGTTATTACTAGGATGCTCCTGTTCAGACACAGTTTCGACAGGCTTTGGCTCGGCCTCGCATGGCCCATGCATTGCGCCCTTCTGCTGCCAGTTCACAACGGGTAATTGGGGACCTACGGAGCACAAAATGGAGCACCCGCAGGGAGGAACGCTATCGAATACTGACAAGCCACCGTACAGGCCTGTTAAACCAAGCTGAGCAACAAGCGCCCCAGACGGATGCTCCAGAGACCACAGAGGGAACTGGGACAGAGACAGACAAATGCTGGGGTCTTGGTGAAATCCAGGTGGTGGATCTCATCCATGAGGATGTAGAGAACCAGGACAAACCTTCTGGCAAGGTGAGTTGAGTGTTATTGTGTTTTGTCTATAGTGGTAGCAGTTACCATACAGCCTACTGGTATTGACACTAGGATTCCAACAATCCCCAAAGCTCTAGTTTGCTGTGTTTTTAGTACAGCACACATAATGTAAAGAATTAAGGAAGTTACAGAAACAATCGTGTCTCACTGGCTGCTACTCTTTGTCACAGTTAACAGTGAAGTTTGTGTTCTGTTGCATCCTGTCATGCCGACACTACCACTTTGAAGGTTCTCAACCAGATATGTGCTTGCATTTTGTTCAGAAATGTTATATTCATAGCACTGGACTTTCTATTAGGACTGTCAGATCTTTTTTTTTAAACACAGTGTTTCGATCTCCCCATTTTGCACATTAACTCTTTTCGTAAAAGTCTCAAACGACCTCAAGAGAGTGTTAAAAACTTTATTGCAAAATTGGGAAGTTTTTTTTTTCTTTCTGTTTTTCCTTTTCAGTACCTGAAAATGTGAACATAAATGCAGTATGGATACATTGCTACTGATAAATACCTCTCTGTAGTGCTGGAAGTCCATCCAAAGTGGTGAGAGTAACTGCTGTTGCAGTTGATAAATTGTTAACAAGTGACTAAACATCCCTACAGCCATTGTCATTGCATTGGCATGTTCCAAATCTGCAGGGGGAGACTGCAGGAACGTAGTAGGGAGAAGAACTTGCTTTCTGGTCTGTTTCTGTCATGTTAAGCTATTGGGCAAATTCTGGTGATGTGTTTGTGAAGGACTTGGCAAATTTAGAAATGTTTCCCACTCTGTCCCTGACTTCAGCTGAACAATGCTGGCATACATTTTTTGTCTAATCCACTTCTTGTCCAGTTTCACTGCAGCTAACCAGGAAACTAGTGCTTCCACAAAATACATGGCACTTGAAAATCCTCTGGCTCTGGCCTTGAACTTTGGTTTGTCATTCATGCACGTAATGTGGAAGTGTGAGTTTGACTGTGCCGATAAATACCAGTTATTGCCTGGTACACAGGGCGTATTGTAGTTTTATACTGAGCACTGAGTGGTTTAATACATATACTGAATTGTCTATTTGACAATCTTTTTTTTTCTTCTTTTTTTAAGTCTCTGGAGATGTTTATATATATTTATTTATTTATTTTTAGAAGGTAGCCAAAATAGATGAATACATTTCGAAGAGTCAAGTACAGTGGGCCTGAATCAGTTAAAAACATGCATATTAATAATATAGAAATATATAATCATAGCTAAGACACTAAAATCTAACATAATAATCAGCCTCTCTTCCAGTGGTTCACTGCAAATGATTTTACATCTGTTTATTGTGTCTTAACTTTAATATTTTTCTTGCACATTGATTAAACAGAGCTGATGAGCCTGTATGAATGAGAATAGTTTTATTAACAAAGTTATAACAATTCAGTTTCCATAATGACAAAGACAATTTAGGTTTTGTTCTTTAAAAATTGGCTATTTTTAGGCATGCTGTTTTATTGACAGTATGAAGTGTTTTTTTTGTTTGTTTGTTTTTTGATAACATATTTGGATGAAGAGGGGTCTTCCATTGAAGAGTCTGTATTGGTATCTAATTGTGGCACAGCACCCAGCCCTTACACTGAGTCACACTGACAGACTGTCACATTCTGTTGGAATTCAGAGCTGTTGGCCAACACGCCTGCCAGGGGAGAGGGTAGACTGAAGTTATTGCAACAACAGCAGCCTTCTTTTTTTGTACAAAACACTGCTTTTAAAAAGAGTGACACAATTTTTTGAAACTGGTGAGCTTTTTGGCATGATTTCCCTGAAGATCTTTGGTGTTGCAGTGAGAGTTTAACTGCATTTCCATATACTTCACCAATGTGAGCCTCTTGAGTGTTTTAACCTCCCTCCTAAACTGCTGTACTGACTTGTAGATGAAAGTCAAAAATCCTTATGAGAGCCCTGTAATATATGCTTAGAGTTATTAAAGTAATAGGATACACTACTTTTAAATTGGGGATGATCATAGTACATTTGCTGAACATTTTACACATTTATTTGTGTTTACTTGTGTCACCACCGACTTTCAACAGATTTACAAGCAAACATTTAATAACTCATTGTTTACATGTTGAAATATAGTTTTAATACAAAAAAATAGATGTGTGCGGTAATGACAGGCATGTAAGTGCTTTAGGTCTGAGTATATTGTGCCTTAATTGTCTTTGTCAATGTCATATGGTCGGTGGGCAGATTTTAACACCACACCTGACAACAAAGCAGTAGGTTGTGTGGGCATCTCCAAGAACACTTGTTGTTTTGGTTCATATAAGTTCAAAAGGGCTGGCCAAAGTGGGACATGCATGAGAGGGATCCACCTGTTCACAGTACCACAGAAATATCATCCAGAAAATCAAGACTTCAATCAACATCGGTAATGTGGACAACCTAAGTAGTTATACGTTTGTTTCTTTGCTCTGTTTGTCTGTAAAGACCCTGTCCTCAGACCCAGACGAGATCCTGTGTAACAACACCAAGATGCTGCGGGAGCATCTGAGCATATCTGGAGAGAGATTGGGAGAAGAGCACCAGGAGCATGACGAGGACTACGTCTACGATCTTTACTACCAGGAAACGGTCACACCAGGGTGGATCCAGGACATCCTGTCTGTCAGGGCCTACGCCGATGAGGGAGAACTGGTGTGTGTGGATGGATGGACGGACAGATGAATGAGTGCTGAAATCGGAGTGAGTGAATGAAGACATGGGTGAAGTAGTAGAAATTTTGTATTTGAATAAATAGGTGAGGGTCAGTGGACACACAGCTGGTCCTGACTAGATATTACAGGTCTTTACCTTCCTGCTGACTGGGCTACATGTGCTTTGTTAATTCAAAGAAGTGGCTGTGGAACAAACAGGCTAATGGGTATCATTAAAAGTAAGGAAGTAATATGGAAGAAGGTCTGGTCTGTGACAATTAATGTATATTTATTCAGGTCTAAAACCTTCCCACCACCTTTTTTTTTTTTTTTTTTTAAAGGTATTTTTATTTTAAAAGGCTTTTCAAAGATGTTTTTAGTGAAGTTAATTGGGGTTTAAGCCATGCTACTGTTTTTATTTTATCTTTATTAGAAACTGTGCCTCTACGGGCTCACAATAGTGTTAAAAAAAACAAACAAACAAAAAAATCCCCAAGTTGTTCTTGTTTGTCACAGGTTCCTGACCTTGTGGTTCATGAAGAGGAGGTGTATGAAGATGAGGATGATGAGAATGAGGAAGGCAACTGGCGGAATGACTACCCTGATGAGGAAAGTGATGCTGACAGTGACAGAGAGGAGCGCTATGGTGGTATGTATCTATTCACGTGTAAGTTTTTCAAGTGTGTAGTTACAGAAGCTTGGGAAATGTTACAGTTGCTACACAAGTGCTTGTCACTTCATGTGAATGTCAGGCATTTGTTTTTTTAATTTTTTTTCAAGTGATTTTAGTTTGTTAGTGATTTAAAAAAATATATATATAAAATCCTACCCAGTCTGCAAATGGGGCCAGTTCTGCATTTTTTAAAATTAAATTTTAGTGTGCTTGCATGTGACTGAATTACTCTAATATTAAGGAGACCATGCAAACTCCACATAGGAAGGCCTCAGCCGACCGGCAGGTTTCAAACCCAAAACCTTCTTGCTGTGAGGTAGCCGTGCTAATCGCTGCCCCACTACACTGCCTGCCATTTTGTATCGTAGAGTAGTTTTACAGCGTTTCAGTTGTAGTTCAACTGGTGTGCTCCAGCTGCAGGTTGTGGTGGAAGAGTGGATGGAGGGAGACGTGGTGGCTTTGTAGATCTGCACACACTGGGGGATTGTGTATAGTTACATGTGAACCATTTTAAAGCAGGAAAACATTATTTTCATGGAATAACAAGGAAATGATGTGCAATTTTGATACACAGATATGACAGTTTCATTTTTTATGGCAACACTTTAAATTCAAGCTGCATGTCGCCACATGTGTGCAGGTTACTGGGAGGAGGAACACTCATACAGCAGGAGGAGCTGGCAGCGCTACCAGAGGGAAGTGTTGCATGAGCTTGGCTGCCGTGGTGAAGACGACGACGACAACGATGATGACGGAGACAAATATGATTCCGATTGATCTGCCCCTTACCCCACCCTGCTCAGTGGATCTTCCCAGTGCCCTCTCAACAAATAACCCCTAACTCTGCAGACCTCTGTGTAGCTGAGAGTGGAAGAAAATAACTAACAGTGTAGCATCTTACATGTAGCACTCATCAGACTTTACGATCATGTTCTAATTTCAAGTAAAATTAGGTAACATCCTGACAATGTCAGATACAATACCATATATACATATATTTTTTTAAATGTGCCAAAGTATTAAAATGTTACTTGAGTCACAAAGCTTTGGGACCACAAATTGTTTAGAAAATTGCACACACACTATCAATCAGTCCAGCGCTTTGCTACACCGATGGTGAAGGAGTTGTTGTTATTTCTAAAAGGATCCAGTGTCTTTTTCTTCTTCTTCTTTTGTTTTTTTATTATTATTATTACTGTGGTGTGAATTTGTGCGTGGATGTTTGTTCAGAGTCGACGTGTGTTAGAAATGTTGCACATTAGTGTGATATGCCTCGTATGCTTTGTGCTGTTACCACATGTTAGTGAGATGTCTCGAGCCGCGTGTGGTTGCAATGTAGGGTGTTTGCATTTTGTGCATGGTAGTGGGTGTAACTGTGTGTTAGATTTTTGCATACTGTGAAAGTGTGGTGCATTATTTTTGTTGTGGGTGTGTGAGTTTGTTTCAGAATTTCCCCTTTGAAAGTTCAGATTGTTTCTCTTGGATGCTTGTTGAGATAAACTTTTTTTTGTAAATATGTAGATGTGTATAAAAAGAAAGCTTTCAAAATAAACACAAAACATCAGTGTTAATTTTTCCTGCATCACGAACAGGTTGATTTTAAGAATTTGATAGCCAACATAATCAGTTTAAAAAAAATCAAACAAACAAAAAAAAACTACTCAAATAAGTAATTTGGACATTCAAGAGTCTGTTGAACCATAACTTAAGATGACGTTTTCTCTTACAACTGGAGGAAGGAAAAATGAAACTGGACATTCGTGTCACTGCTGGTGACAATTCTCAGGTACTCCTCCTGAGGCAATGCAGTTGTTTTTGTGAAGTAGTTTAGTGACAACAGGCACAGTGAAAACTTTGGGTGGAGACACACCTGTAGAAAATTAGTCCCAACTTGTCTGCACCTACAAAATAGTTAGAAAATGAGTGAGCTCTGATTTGGAACATAATCATGGCTTCACTTCCCTTAACATTCACAGTTTCCTTGTAATTAAATGCAATTTTGAAAAGCTTCAACGCATTACTACATGCCATGTTTGATACGGTCTGTAGACCAGACCAGGAGTGAAACTGCCAAGGCTTGATCTTGATGGCTTAAAATCTATCACTTAACTGAAAACAAGTGGTGCTGTTGAAAGATGAAATGTGGATTTTGAGATGGAGAATGAAGCAGAGTTTACTTTTGAACAGAGGATGTGCAAATGTAACAAAAGTGGACTTAAAGATAATACAACTGAAGTGTCTCTGTCAGAAGGTTGAACACTGTAAAGAAATAATCATTGATTTTGTGCTACACAGATTAGCATAAAAAAAGGGGCACGTTACAACTTCCCTGCAGAAATACATACCCCACCTTAGCCAACACGCTTGAATCCTTCACAACACTCATTAAATATATCCAATAAAATCCATTCACCCATTATCTATACAACGCTTAATCCTCACTAGGGTCATGGGGGCTGGAGCCTATACCCAATAAAATAAAATACAATAAAACAAAAAGCAGCAAGAGTAAAAATGCAAAAAAAACAACAAAAAACTGAAACTACAAGGAAAATGGCACCAACGCTACATAAAGGCAATGTCACTGGAATAATGAGCCAACATCTTCACATAGCAGCAGTATTTTGTTTCTTTTTTTTTCAATTCTAAAAGTGACCATGACTGACAGTTTAATCTCAGGTGTGACTGGGCATGCATTCATACAGCATAAAATTTACTTGTATTGCTATCAGGTCCCTGTGGTCACAGCACCTGTAAAATCTCACAAATACTATTTAAAAAGGCATACAGACTGTACTACCTGTTAAACTAACAAGGTGCAGAGTTTATAACAGAGGTCATCTGTCATCTGAAAATCCTTGAAGTCCAGGATGAATCTACAAGTGAGCATTTGCATCTGTGGCAGCATTTTCAAGTCTGACAGTTTCAGTGTGGTTGACAGTACAATAAAAGAGTCAGAAATCCCTTTTTCCCAGCTGAATTTGTTGTCTGGTGGCTGGAGATGGAAGTGTTCAAGTGTAATAGATTCTACTGGCTTTTGTCCATCTCTGTCAGTACACAGTAGCAGGTATACTGGGTGAAGTGAGTCAGCCAACCTGCAGTAACGGACAACATGTTAGCTAATTGAGGGTACTTTGTATTGAGAGAAAAATAGATGATATGGCTTAAATGACAAGTGTGCTTGTTGCTTCAGGGAGCTGTGTGATAAACTTACACAGTAGCTTGGAGATGACAGGTGGTCGTTGAGACTCTGGAAGATAAACACCAAAGAAGTAGACAGGAACGCCTGATAGGGCGATGGCAATGCCAATCAGAGAGTTGACAGTGTCACTGTAAAGAGGAACTGCCACCAGGAACACAGCACACAGACAGAAGACCACTGGGTACAGTAACGTCAGCTGCAGAGAGAGTAATCACAAGAAAGACGGTGAGTTAGAAACTCAAATAAATACTTTGTTTTAATATAACCATTATTTTTAATGTAATTTAATATCAGAAACATGTGACGTGATGGTCCTTCTCTGTGACAGGCTTAGTGTTAGAGCATCCCACGAAAGTTGCCTCAAAGGTACAACAGACAAATAAAAGGAATTAGCTAAGCTTTTTAACATATAGCAATAGATTTTTTAGAACAAAACAACTAATTAAGCTGTATATTTAGTAAGTCTGTAAGGACAAACTAGAATTATTTTTCAAAGTTTGCAGTAAGAAATGCATTCATTTGTATGTGACACCAAGAAGCAACCTCTGGGGCTGAAAAAAAACTAACATCAAAGTGTCAAAAACTGTCATACAAGTCACCACACTGTGCTTTTCATGAAACTTCAGGGTGATGTCATGGAGGATTTGCCAATCTTTATATAGAGTCAATGTGTGACACAAGCAGAAAAAAGCATGAATGACCCTTACGATATGTAATTTTTTTCAGGAACAAACAAAACAAGCATATTACCCCTTACATCACTAACAGAGGACCAGTGTCCACTAAGGAGTAAGTAGTGAGAAAGTGTCCGTTATCTCCTGACTTAAAGGTAGAAATAGCAACAGAGTGATGTAATTGTAAGGCAGTAACTGAAACACACCACTGAGTGGTGCTGTAGCACTGCATGTTGTTCTGCTGAGCCCAGCAATTCTAGCTGTTTGTCCTTTCCAGGCCAGCTTAGTTCCCCATTGCTCTGTGGAGGATGCCGTGTTTCGCTTAGTATTCTTTCTTTCACTGTTGTTGAAGGGAAGCAGTGCTCCTGGCAGCCCATGTTTTGCACAAAATGTGTAAGTTAAGCTGCAGTTAAACAATCAATCTCTTTAAAATATTCTTCTTCCTAACCCAACTGTTTTGTTTGCAATGTTTTCATGATAAAAATTGTGAATCCATGCACAGCAGCTTAGCTTTTTGCTGTACAGAAAAGAATCTAAGCTAAAGCTGCTGTGCCACCTGCAGAAATTCCATACAGCCCATTTCTCAATGTGGAGACAGTTTAGATTCTGCTGCTGTGATGCCACAGCTAATGAAGTCAAAGAAAATAAGTCTTCACTCTATGCTTGTTTGTTTAACACACGGCAGGACATGAAAGCAGATTTCAAGAGTTGTATGCAAGTTTTCAATGCTGTGATAATGACGGAGACAGAGCTGAGCTTCAGCCGGGCATGATTTAAATGTCAGGAGAAGGGAGTTCAGCTCTGGTGGGCCCTGTTTATCACTCAAATGCAGGTAAGTGAATGAATCAGTGGATGGATGCATGGTGGTTACACAGCTGTGTACATCTGTTGTCACCTTGAGAGGTCTGGGTCTGTCAGGCTCCTTTATGCGGAGGTAGATCTGGCCAGCAATGGACAGTCCCATGAAGAACCAATAGCTAAAGCTGTAGTAGTTGATGAGCTGGAAGACATCCTCCACCGTCAGGTAGATCAGTGACATGACACACTGGATAGCCGAATGGGATAGTGACAATGGAAAGCAAAACAAAAATGTAAATAGTGTTACAGTATTCCCTGCAATATTAAAACTGCATTATTTTCAACTCTTAAATGTCAAGAACACGTTTATTAACCTATGTGATAAATGTGGTTTAAATACAATGTCATATTTAATAGCAGGTGAAGATGTGCCAGATATTTTCGGTTTCCATTAACTAATAAAGTTGGATTTTGTTTACTAGTTCAGGCATAGAAAAATGGAACGTGTTTGGTACAGGATAAAATACTATTTTACGTTTCCAACAGAATAGTAACCGACAACAACAAACTACCATTAAACAGGAGTTTTCTGTACTTTCAACATTATATTTTGACTGTAATTTAGCCTTGTCCGTACATTGAAGATCAGAGCAGGGACTGGAGTGAATCTCTGTATATGGATCATGGACAGAGCATCTGGAAGGTGACCCTCACGAGAGCCCACAAAAAACAACCTGTGCACAACCAATGTGAATTAATAGAGATACATAGACACCATGCAAAGTACTGTTTTATACTACACAAGAATTAACCTCTGTAAAGCAGATGTAAAAAAATAGTAATAAAATAACCACTGCAGATTTCTTTATTGCTGCTTAAAACTGGTGTGTCTATGTATGTGTTCTACCTGGATGCAGCTATAATAGAGGCATTGAGGCCTCCATAGCAGGACAAAGCCACAGCAATGGGGATAGTCCAGCCCATTACACCAAGAGTGTGATCTGCAAAAGTCTGAACATCACATCGCAACTAGTTTAGCAACTTCATTGTCAACTCATGTGCACATGCATCTTGTTCTCAGTAAAGCAGTTTGCTTACTCACCACTGCCACTGCATCGCTGGCCAGTATAGCACTAACATCCAGAACAGCATAGTAGGCCACATTGGTGAGGATGTAGATGACGGTGACAATGGGCATAGAGATGGCGATGGCCAGAGGCAGGTTCCTGGAACAACAGGACATTCAATCACTACTAGGCGATTGAATTATTTTGATATGCCACTATTGGTACTTTCTACTGGAAAAGAAACCAAAAATAGGAAAGATTACCTTTCTGGGTTTTTGATCTCCTCAGTTACAAAGTTAAGTGTGTCCCAGCCAGAGTAAGAGAAGAGGGCAGAATACAACGCCAGCGCAATGTCACCAGGATCTGTAGATGACCCCTGAAAGGACGATTCGAAGTTGGTTGTGTAGCCTAAGATAGAGACACAACAGTAAAAGGAACATTCAATGAAATTTCATTGCATCTAAGCAAATGATCATAATAGTATTCTTGAGCTGTTGACAGTTCCTGAGGTTTCAAACATTTTATGAATACAATCTGATCTGTACTAGGAACATTAATGGTTAAAAGTTAACTGATAGATTAGAACTAAGCACTGGCATTAGCACCAGCAATGCACTAGCATCTGGATCTTCTTGGTGGAAAAGAGGTGTGGTTCAGCCAGCAAAGAGTCACCGTAACAAAGACTTCTGTGACACTTAATGGCCTCAGACCAGACCTCACCTATTTAAGACAGATTGAACTCTACTGGGAAAGAGCAAGCTTACAGCCCAATGACATATATAACTAAGTCGCTTTTGACCCCAATGATACATGCTAAGTGACAAAACCAGCATTTTGAGCATGCAGAATACTGTCTGCTGTGGCCAATTCATGTTCAAGATTGATTAGAGATTATTGATTGAAGACACTGTCCATTATTGAAGTAAATGTTTCAAAGTCTGCATCCCTTGTTTATACTCCTTCAGCAACTGTTTTAATTAAGACGGACTCACCCAAAGACCACCTGTGACAATAATGCTGAAAAGAGTGTTATTCCTTTGTTATATAAATTGTACTGACATTGCAACGCTTTACAGTCCCAAGAGAAAATATGTAAATGGCCCTGAGCCAACCAATAATCTACCCAAAACAAATAATCTCTTTTTTCAGTGTAGAAAAACAACACATTTAGGAACACAGTAAAATGACTGACAAAGTTCAGGATGGTGGGAGATGTATTAAACCATGCAGGAGAACACATTTGCTGGTGTTGTAGTGCTTGCTGGAAGGTTTCTAGTATGTCTTTGATTATCCTAAATACTGGGTGACTCCACTTACCCTGGCTCAGCTTCACGATGCCAGTGGCAATGATGACAATGAGGGCTGCAACCTTTGCATAGGTGAAAATGTCCTGCACTCGAGTTCCCCACTTTACGTAGGCAGAGTTGATAAATGTCAGTAAACCTGTAAAGAGAAGATAGCTTCATAGATGTTTCTTTGCTCTTTTAGGAATAGTCAGAAAGATGCGAGCAAACAGCAGCAGGACACAGAATGGTTCAAAAGTACTTACATATACACGCTGCAGCGATGAGCCTGGCTGCTGCATATGGTGGTTCACATGTTGGAAAGAGTGGCTGCACCAAGTAGTTTGCAAATGTAATAGCTATGACTGCTTGGCTGGTGGGTTCAATGATCAACAAAGATGTCCACAGACGAATGAATGCAATGAAGCCACCAAATGACTCCAAGATGTATGCATAAGATGCCCCTGATTTTGTTATTGTTGTTCCCAGCTCAGCATAACAAAGGGCCCCCACCACTGAGAACAGGCCCCCAATGGCCCAGATGACTAGCGACAGCCCATAAGAGGCACTGTAGATAAGCACACCCTTCGGGGAGACGAAGATGCCGGAGCCAATCATGTTTCCTACGATCAGACTGACTCCATTGAGCAGCGAGATCTCCTTTTTTAGCTGCATGCTCTCTTTGGGTGGCTCCAGGAGACTGGAAGAGTGACCAGCATTGCCATTCATCTTCCCAGATTCTTCACGGTCGGCCATGGTACTGCCGTGTCAGGCCTGAACCAGCAGGAATTGAGGACTGGCTGGACAGTGCAGCCCCTTGTCTCTTTCTGGCAACCTCTGGAGCAACCTGTCCACCACATTGAGAAGAATAAGATCATCACTCGTGAAGGAAAAAAGGAATTCAGGGACATATGGTGAGTCAGAGGTGTGTTTAGTAACTGCTTTTCAATCTCCGTCAAACACTGACAAACAGAAAAGAGAAAAGAGAGTGAGTGAAAGTGAAAGTGGAATCATTAGTGGAAGAGGTTGTGAGGAGCAGAAACATGAAGTAAAGTAAATGATTTTAAAAAAAACTAGTGAAGTGCCAAAAATGCAATAACTTATGTAGCATCAATAAAACACTCAATAGGAACAAATCTAAAACTAACTTCCATCACTTATTTTCTGCCCTTCCACCCCCCCAACACTACTGCCCCCTGTTCATCTGTCCTTCAGCAAAGCATAAAATGACCTGTGGTTCACATGGCAAAAACAAAACACATCAACATGTGGCTTCATTTCAATAATTACAGCTAAAATAGTGAAAAACATGACAACTTCATTCCAAGGCTATTGTGTTCTAAGACATTGAAATGAAACACTGAGATACACAATAAAGGAAACATTTAAAACACAATGTCAGGGGGTTGTTACAACAGATACTGTCATACCAGTCAAATGTTTACATGTCATGTCTGTCCGGTAACACCTTATAACTTATCTCCTAAGCAACATTGTGAAATTGGTCCAAAGATGATGTAATTTCAGACAATGATCTATCTACTATCTCCAAGCAGGGCTCAGAGAGAAAAGGTGGTGTAAAATAGCAGGAACAGTGCTGTATGCAATGCAGGTGTGGAATGTACAGTTTATTTATTTAACAGTACCATAACCATAAATCGAAATAGTGAGCAAGTTATTACAACAGGCTGGTGCTTGTGTGCTGTGTCTGTGTGCATGTGGGATGCACGCTTCACTTCAACCATTAGACACCTGTTCCTCATGCACAAACTCAACAGCACACCACCTGTCTATCTGATAACAGACCAATCAATGACTGAAACAACCACACTGCTGCTGACTAATGAGATTGAAATTAACAGCAGGAATGACTCAAACAACCGCACTGCTGTTAACTTCCATCTCATTAGTCAACAGCAGAAAGGACAGCAGTACCACCCTGCACACTGCTTCCCTGAAGCTTGAAGTCAAAGCACTGCTCATGCTTCATTCAAGGTAGGAGCTAAAAGTGCTGGTGGTGTGAATCTTTCTATGTGCGTGTGAACTTGTACGTGTCAGCCTGTGAAATGCGTCAGGCGTTATGCAACCCACTTAACAATTATGAAGACGTAACGTTAAGTGCGATGTACAGAAAACATTGTACCTGAAGTTAAATCTCTGTAGCTAGAAAAACAACCAGAAAAGTTTAAGACTTTCAGTTCAGTCCATTTTTTCTGACTCTGCTGCAACAACTAAAAGTGTGACTTGGGATGGGCATCTTTGGAGGTCTGCGACGTTCAACATGTGACTGTGATGTTCTGGGATTGAATTTGGGCTCGGCAATTGTTGCTTATGTTACCCTGGTTTCTCCATCAGGTTTTCCAGGTGTTCAAAATACCAAACTAACCTTTTCCACATATTCTAATAAATCAAACCAGCCAAACGACAGCACAGTAATTTAATTTGTGGCAACTGTTAATTAAATCATGCACTATTTTGAAATTCCATCAATTGGCTTTTTTTTTTTTAATTTTTTTTTTTTTTTTAATTTTTTTTGTTTCCCCCTTTTAGGTTTTTATTTTTTTTTTTTTTTTTTCTTTTTTTTTGTTGTTCGTTTGAAATTCGTTTCTTTCTTGCGTTCTTTCATTTTAAAAAGGAAAGGAAAAAAAAGTGATGTGTTGTTGCTTTTCCTTGACTTTTATCACTATAAACTGAGTATTTTGAGTTCTGGACTGTGGGTGAGACCAAACTAAACACTCGACTTGAGGTAGCCATCAACTTGCTCAAGTTGTTACAGACTGATTTATAGAACAAGCATCTAGTCAGATAATGATTTAAAAAAAACAAAAAACAGCAGCTTAATCAGTACAACAGTAATTGTTGGCTGCAGTCCTATTTACACTTATTATTTTCTAGATTGTAGTCTTCTCAGCTCTTACGTGTGCATATTATGAGAGAGACTGATATAGGTTTTAGGATCAATACTAATTATTAGTAATCAAAGAGACTGACAACCAGTATTTGGAACTAATTACTGCAGAGTTGCCTGCATTAGAGCCAAAGTAGCACATTTTTAAATTGGCCAGACTCATTGACTCAGTCAATCCCTAATTCAATTCACTATGGTTTACTGGCATGAATGTCCCATGAAAAATACAACATTTAAAGCAACCAGGATGATGCAATTTTTTAAAAATGTGTTTGTGTATTTTAAACTATGACTATATATCTATATACAAAATCATCTGTTTGTGCAGTGAAGCCCAAACTGTTGTATTCTGTTTTCAGTGTATAAGAATCATAACCACAAGCTTGTGAGACATTTTCCAGAGTTGGATACATTGTAAATGAGATGTTGTGCATCAGTTGAAGGTCAGACCGTTTACTGGAAAACACTGTGGTGCTGACACCATTATTACTCACTTACTGGAATACAGTGCATGGCAGGCTCCAGCCTCCTGCGACCCCCTACAGCAGGGGTGGGTAATCCTGGTCCTGGAGGATCAGGATTGCCCACCCCTGCCCTACAGGGTAAAGCAGGTATAGCTGATGGACGGAAGGACAGATAATGCCAAAAATGTACAGTAGATAGATAATTTCAACAAATAAAGCGGGTGATGTTGTTGTCCGCTGCTATGAAAGCTCGGGTCAGTCAGTTTTGTTTCAGCTGATCTCAGGTTTAAGTCTAGGTCCTCGGGGAGAACGTATTTAACATCTGTTAACATGACAAAGCATGTGATGTTTTCTTTCTAACAGCTGTGAAGTTACCACATTTAACCTCTGCTCAAGACTTTCAAAACAATGCCACGCTTTTCTCTCTCGCTCGTTGTCTCTCTTTCTCAGCCTTTTACTGAATATGTAAAATGAGGTTTATTTATACTGATCAAATCCACATAATTAGCTCAAGAGGGCTCATTTCGGTTTAGCAGGTTTCTATAGGGAGAGCTCTGTCCCGAAGATAATAGCTACAGTTAAAATTTGTAAACGAGACAGGTCCAATGGCCGGCTTAACGAACTAATAATAATAATAATAATAATAACAATAATAATAATAATAGCAGCTTTACTTTCCCTTAGCTGTTATAACAATGTTGAACATGTATAGCCTCACTAACCTGCATGGGTTAGGTTAGCTTATTATCTGTTCACTGCTCAACCCTCTGAGACAAAGCACTCAAAATATATATATACATATATCTCTTCGCCTCAATAAAATGAGCCAGCTACTGTCAAAAACACAACTTTAACCCACAAAATGAAATGACACAGCTTTCTTTTTGGCTGTGGACCTCCTCAGCCTCCCTGTCGCAGCCCTTTACCGACTTCTTCCTTTTGTCCCGTTTCTGTGTCCAATTTCAGCTCGTCGTTATCCTCCGACGGCGCACAGACATTTAACAGAAATATACCGGCTCAACAGAGAGAAAGTTGGAGGGTATTCTGTCAAGTCTTACCTGAGCTGCTTTGTCTCCGGTGTAGTGGTTTTGACAACCAGCCAAGACGGTGTTTCTCTGACAAACGGCATTAGCGCTGTAAACAACCGCCGCTGCTGCTGCTGCTGCTGCTGCTGGAGGAAGAGGTCACGTGACGTCAGACTGGATGTATACATGCGCTGGCTTATTTCCAGGACCACACTGTTCTCCGCTACCGGAAAAACAGCTCGCCTTTCAGACACTGACCGTCGTAGTATTTTTTATAGTTGCCCATCGACTGGCAACTACAGAGTAATTGTGCCCGTGTGTTTGTGTGTTCAGTCTAGAGCTTTACAGGAGTTTGAACCTGAAACTTCATACATGACCTCGGTATGGTTCTTCCTCAGAGGGATTGGATTTTGGGGTCAATACATCCATTGGTGACAGCTACAGAGGTCAAAGGTCACATTTCCCAAAAACAGCTCTGTGTGACTGAAAATGCACAAGAAGCCATAAGTTTAGTACACTAACTTAGGAAGACATTATAGGCCTATAAACTGGTAGTGTAACATATGACCTTGAGACAAAGGTCAAGGTCTCACTGATGGTCTTAAATCATCACACATTTTAAATCCATTATAACTTGGAGAAGGTGTAACATAAACACAGTTCTTTTTATTCTCATTATAATCAGCTAGGAACCCATGTTGGTGATGTGACTTTTGACCTTGGATAAAAGGTCAAGGTTCCGTTTATGTGTCTCAAGGTCAGAAATCTAAGGCGCTTAGCCATAAGCGTAAATTACAGCAAAATCTTCCCCTCCATGCAAAATATCTGTGTTACATGATAGACTAAGCTCTTGTGCTTTATTTGCTTTAAATTTAGCCCAAAATCAATGACCTATGTCCAATCTCTCAAAAGATATACCATAGGCATGGACCTGTACATTACATGCACATTAGGAATATCCCCAGAATTCCCAAGGGTTTTTCTCTGTTAAATGAATGATTTGCCCCCAAAGCTGGTTCCCTGAGAGATTTAGTGCATCATGTCTTCTTTTAAATTTGTGCAATTATTTTTACATTATGTATCATTGTAAGGCAAAATCAAGACAAGTTCATCCTCAATAGGCGCACAGTAAAACACAGAATCAGGTAAACATGCATACATTGGGCAACTATGTCTCTACTGAGGGCTCTCTAGTTATGTTTTTATTATTAATATTATTTTATTTTTATTCGTGTAATTAAGAATTGTATAAAATGGTCAGTGTTGTTTTTGGGGTGTGTCTAAGCTAGGCCAGTGCTCATCCTGGGGTGGGACAATCTTGTTGTTTTCTAGAAAATTGCAGTAAACCAATTAGTCATTTTTGGTTACTCACTCCCATCAGGCAAGACTGCCATGTGCAACTACAGGACAGCTCATGGACAGTATAATAAGCTTTTCCAACAGAATAACATTTAGGGAACACTCCCTGAATGTTTACTGAAGGTTTGATGAAAGTTCACTGTACCTCTGTAGTGAATGTTGCCTGACTGTCATTTAGCTTTTGGACATCTGAGAAACATTTGCTTTTGGGAAAAAAATATTATCATGAATGTTTCCTGGATCTACAGTCTTGTAGACAAGTGGTTCTTGAAAAAAGTTTTTCCACTAATATAGTAGTAACTGGACATAACACCAGTTCAGTACATGTGTAGGCTTCACTGTTGGCTATGTGGGGAGGCCAGACTTCTGTCTGTGGTGGCTCTCCATGGCTCTGCCCTTGAAAATGGTGTAACAATAAAAATGAAGCAAAGCTTTGTTTCAAAAATAATCTTGAAATAGTTTTGGATAGAGAATTTGAAAAAAGAACTTTCATACAAGTTCACTGTAAGCCCACTCAGCAGTGTGTTACTTTTATATCTCATCATTTTTCCTCAGTTATATTAACCCACTGAGCCTGACAGTGCAAGTGTGTGAAGAACAGACCTGCAATTAGAGCCATCCTGCTAGAAGCTTACAGCAGAGAGGGTGTACCCTTGGACAGTATGTGCCATTATTTTGTTAGTGATGGTTAAGCAGATTTATACGAGGTAGTAACAACCTGAGGTTTTACAAAGGGCAACACAAACAGTATGCTGGCATGAGTTCATGAAGTACAGGACCCATTCACAGCATTTCATAACATTTTGATGCTTAATGCATTAGGAGCTTGGCTGTATTGGAAGGTCAGTGTTTCACTTTAGTTCAGTATTTTTAACCTCTTAGTGGGCAAAAATCTGTTGTGTTGCCCCTGTTGACCCCCACATAACATGTCAGTGTCACTTCTTTTCCCAGGCACCTAGTCTTTAAGTACACTGACAGTCACAAAATGCCCAAAATTGGGACCATTTAGGCATCAGGAAGTAATGATGGGCATGTTTTGAATTTTCTGACATTTTATACACAAAATATTTACCAATAAAAAAAAAGAAAGAAAATAAGTGACTGACTACTTCTACCCTCTTTTCTTTACTTCAACTCAGCATAATATATAATAATAACAAATGAGTAACAAATATAAACTGAAATCAAAATATCAAAACTAGATTTTGGCACAAGATGTCTCTTCAAAACAAATGAGCAATCATTAAATTTTCTCGACCCAAATTACATAATGCAAACCTGGGCTTTTGGGGCCTCTTGGGTTCCGGGGCCTTGGGCAATGGCCAAGCTAGTGATCTCCATTATGCACTGGTGATGAAAAGCTAGTGGCAGGTAACAAAGCAGGATTTATACACTCACCAGCCACTTTATTAGGTACACCTTGCTAGTACCGGGTTGGACCCCCTTTTGCCTTCAGGACTGCCTTAATCCTTCGTGGCATAGATTCAACAAGGCACTAGAAACATTCCTCAGATATTTTGCTCCATATTGACATGATAGCAACACACAGTTGCTGCAGATTTGTCGGCTGCACATCCATGATGCGAATCTCCCGTTCCACCACATCCCAAAGGTGTTCTATTGGATTGAGATCTGGTGACTGTGGAGGCCGTTGGAGTACAGTGAACTCATTGTCATGTTCAAGAAACCAGCCTGAGATGATTCGCACTTCATGACATGGTGCGTTATCCTGCTGGAAGTAGCCATCAGAAGATGGATACACTGTGGTCATAAAGGGGTGGACATGGTCAGCAACAATACTCAGGTAGGCTGTGGCGTTGACACGATGCTCAGTTGGTACTAAGGGGCCCAAAGTGTACCAAGAAAATATCCCCCACACCATTACACCACCACCACCAGCCTGAACCGTTGACACAAGGCAGGATGGATCCATACTTTCATGTTGTTGACGCCAAATTCTGACCCTACCAGCCGAATGTCGCAGCAGAAATCCAGACTCATCAGACCAGGCAACGTTTTTCCAATTTTCCATTGTCCAATCTTGGTGAGCCTGTGCAAATTGTAGCCTCAGTTTCTTGTTCTTAGCTGACAGGTGTGGCACCCGGTGTGGTCTTCTGCTGTTGTAGCCCATCTGCCTCAAGGTTCGACGTGTTGTGCGTTCAGAGATGCTATTCTGCATACCTCGGTTGTAACGAGTGGTTATTTGAGTTACTGTTGCCTTTCTATCAGCTCAAACCAGTGTGGCCAGTCTCCTCTGACCTCTGGCATCAACAAGGCATTTGCGCCCACAGAACTGCCGCTCACTGAATATTTTCTCTTTTTCGGACCATTCTCTGTAAACCCTAGAGATGGTTGTGCATGAAAATCCCAGTAGATCAGCAGTTTCTGAAATACTCAGACCAGCCCGTCTGGCACCAACAACCATGCCACGTTCAAAGTCACTTAAATCACCTTTCGTCCCCATTCTGATGCTCAGTTTGAACTGCAGCAGATCGTCTTGACCAGGGGTGCCCAATCCTGGTCCTCGAGAGCCCCTATCCAGCATGTTTTAGATGTTTCCCTCTTCCAACACACCTGATTCAAATGATCAGCTCATCATCGAGCGCTGCAGAAGCCTGATAACGATCCTGATCATGTGAATCAGGTGTGTTGGAAGAGGGAAACATCTAAAACATGCTGGATAGGGCCAGGATTGGGCACCCCTGGTCTTGACCATGTCTATATGCTTAAATGCATTTAGCTGCTGCCATGTGATTGGCTGATTAGAAATTTGCGTTAACGAGCAGTTGGACAGGTGTACCTAATAAAGTGGTCGGTGAGTGTATGTAGCCATACTGTATGATTACATTTTTTTTTTGCATTGCTACATATGGTATCTATTACTTATTTTAATATGAAATGTCCATTGCATTTTGCTGCTCTATTTTAACTTTAGTTGCCATTTTGAAAAGGACATCAAATCACACACAACTAGAAGCGCTAATAGTTGCAAAAATAATAATAATAAAGCATAGCAACATGTAATGAATTAATGAACATAAAGTTGCTCTTCTGGTAATTTTGGTGGAGACATTTTGTGATTCCCTTTATGTTTATCAGTACACCTCTGGTTCCGGTTTGAGGCCATGTTTATCACACTTGGCCTGACTTACCTACTTTGGCTGGTGGTGTTGATAAAATTAATGTAAGAGAAGAGAACATTTCTTGTGAATGTTCAGTAACGCTGCCTATCATGATTTAGGGGAAAAGCAGGTACATATTGTGGCAGAATTTTGATGGCAAACAAGCAGTAAGAGAACAGCAATTATAAAATCTCTGGGGAGGGAGTACAAAGGCATAGACGAGAGGGATGGACAACTGAGCAGGAACAGTGACCCATAAATGTGTATACATATTCAGACAAATACACAGCCATTGGTTCCGTTTTAACCAGAAGACTTTTTAATTATGTTGAATGTACATCCACAAAAACTTGGATATGCACAATAATTTGAGTCACATAAAATTTAATGTTCGACAAAATATTTTTATTTTTTTTTAAAGTGCAAATATCACAGTTCTAAAGCAGATAACACAAACATATTCACTAAAATTAAAATTATATATTGGAAAAAATGTGGAGTGACTGAAGTCATTTATATTAAAACATTCAGCTATTATTTTACAACTGGTACATACTGTTCACTGGAATGTCTTCTACTAATTATATTACTACAGTACAAATGGCACAAGCTGACGTTCTACTATTTTTAACAGTGAAAACAACCAGCTATTTAAAAAAAAAAAACACAAGACAAAAAAAAGCGTACACAGTATAAAATTTAAAATGAAAAGCTTATCTAAGGTTCAAGGAGCGCTTCAATAATAATATATATATTTTTTCTCTACAAACAAATAATAGAAAAAACAGCATAGTAACCTGCAATCATTCAACTTCCTCCTGTTTCCCTGTCTCATAATTAGCCTTAAGTTTATCCACAATGTACAGTTTTAAATCTCAAATATATTCTTTCCCTTCTATAACTAGAACCAGTCTAGGTATTCTGTAAATAAAGGCTCCAGGCCTTTATTGTACGTTCCTGAGTGTGTCATTTCTTCACCACTGGCCCAGAGAAGAAGAATCAAGTGATCAGGTATCTTTTTATTAATCTATTTGACTGCTAAGTGGATGGGGTTTGATTTAAGTTTTTCCAGCAAGATTTACAGTATTTATATATCATATTTAGCTAATTTAAACCCAAATGTCTTATACATGTGACGACTGTAGCTTTAATTGTACAAAAATGATCATTGTCAAAATGTATTTTTCTTCACCCCGTGAGATCACTTATGAACACAACAGACTCAAAAATGACTGATACTGGTTGACTGATAAAACATAAATTAGTTACTTTTGTCTTACTACCACTTAACGTTGCCTAGGAACCGGTAGTGGCTCCAAACTCATTGTGTTCTTGTACTAACCGAAACAGCTAAGCTGGATTGTTCACTATTAAAGGACGGCAGAACAATAAGTTGTGTAGAACATATAGGGCTAGCTCACTTTTAGAGCTGCCACTCATATTTCTCAGCAGCTATGACACCTTAACACAGAATGTCACTTGGACAACCAGCGAATCTACAGTGGTGGAGCATTCTTCTGCATTTTGTCTATCATGTTGGTATGTAGACTTTATGTGTAAAAAATAGTCTGCTGCAGCTTTGAGTTTGCTGCTGTATTCTATCTAGGGCTGGACCTGAATAGCTGAAAAGCCGACGATTTGTTCACTGTGCTGGAATGGAATCGGGATATCAATTTTGGTCTCCAAATATCATCCCCCCCCCCGGAACAAATACCCACCCGCCACCCCCGCACAGCACCCCCAAATATTCGGGATATTCATCATTACTTGGGGCCAAATATCCAGAGAACTGAAATTGCTATTCAGATCAGCCCTAATTCTGATCCACAACTTTGTGTAGTCCACTTAACCCCTCTCCTGTAGCATGTGTTGCCTGGTAGATCCGGTGCTGGTGCTGCCAAGAGTAGAGCCAGCAGCCTGTTTTCGTATCCAGTCCAGCATGCAGAACCGCAACATCAGAAAGAAGCCTGGGGACAGACCAGAACCACAATTCAGTCATTTATACCAAAAAGTTGAAAGCATTTTCTAAATTAAAAAAAGAAATTCAACATATACACAACCACCAGATATTGTCACTCTTTTTAAATTATTTCTGAATGTGTGCAGCCCTGAATAGAGGTGAAATCGAAATAATATGCTCCATTGTCTTAGCTGTAAACACTACACATGAAGTCTAAGTGTACTGGTAAGTGAGAACTTAATGTCTAATCATTGTGTATGTGAAGATTCCGCATTTTAAGTAGGGCTATGGACACTAAAGGTGAAGGCTGAGGCAGTTTACCATTACAATGCTGCATGCCAGCATACAAAATTCTCTTTCCCAGCTACGAATGTTCAGCAAAAATGGGGTTAATAAATTGAGGGTTTGGATTTGAATAAAAAAAAACAAGCAGGCTGCACGTGAGCGGAAGCAGCTGTGCTTCTGATAGGCACCAGTAAGAGAAAGTCTTGATTAACTGTGACCATTGTCTCTTTCCCACACTGATACAATGGACCACTGGCTCCACATACACTGTCATCAGTCTCTGAGCCAACAATGAAAAAGCCCCTGCTCGAAAACTGATTTATAAATATACATTTACATTTTATGTTGCATAACTTCAGCCAGGTTGACCTCTTCATTTCGCACTATTCCAGCTTTAAATAATCACTCAAACTCAACTTTTGAAAATGCTGCTGACCCTGTTTGCTTCTGTAACCTCTGGAGTTGCGTTTTATGTACACTGGCACCTGAATGCCAAGTGTAAGTAATTATTGGGATATGCACCTAGAAACGCAAATAATGGCTGTATTTGAAACGAAGCTAAAACACTTGTTTACACAGAGGTTGTTTTTGTTTTGCCGACGTAGTCAAATTTTAAAACCATTATATATTGCAAAAAATGCAAGTTTCTGTCCTAACATGTTTTATTATAAATTGGGAAAAAAAAGTAGTAGTAATAGTTCACACAAGTTGATAGTTGTGTTTGTTAAGCTGAGTGTAACAAATTTTAAACCCCAAGTAGAGTCTGGACTGACAGACCTTGGAAGGAGTTGAGGATACAGAAGAGAAAGACAATGAAGTCAGAGACGGGTCCAAAATCCAGGAAGGTCAGACCCCAAGTTGTCCCAAAGAGGCAGCTGAGGCCCCAGATGCTGAGGAAAGCTACGCGGTTCTGCTTCCATTCATCCCTTTTGCGGATCTGTCTGTACACAAGGAAGAGCATCACGATGCCCGATGGTACCAGGATGGCCAGGATCGTCATATTGGTACAAATGTGAGCCAGGAAAGCCTTGTCGTTCTCTTTCATCCAGCACCTAGGAATAGCAAAAGTGCCAGAATAATGGTCAAATTAGGCAGGTGTTTTTTTTTTTTTTTTTAAACGCTCCCCAAATCACCTTGCTTCTGGATCATTTAACCTCAATTCACCAAATTTCACCAAAAAGTTCATGTCTGATCATTTTATATTTGCCTGATTTCTTGTTCTGTGCATATGTATGTAAGAAAGTAAAAGTTGTAAAATCTGGAGTGGATTTTTGTGCCATTTTCTTCATGCCAATCTGTGGAGCAATGTTTAAAGTGCCATAGCTTGAGAAATAATGTAGCTGGAGTCTTGAAATTGTGCAGGCTCACTGATATGTATACATGGAATGCAAAGGGACAACCTTGCTTTGATAGAATAACACAAATCAATTTTATGATGGTGTAAATTTGGTAAAAAAAAATGTCCATGTTCTTTTGTATACCAATGTTCCACCAACCTTAAAACCTTTATTGTTCACTCTAACTAGCTGATTTCTTTTCCTGTGATTGGCACCAATAGGTGCTTTAAAAATGTAGAGTATGACTCCACCCCTCTTTAAGAGTTTTAAATGAAGAACTAGTGTTACTTATGGCCCCAGATTTAACACATGATCAGCACAATCAAAGTTCACCACTTAACAAAAAAGTCAAGTTGAATATGGCTGGGCATTCAGTGAATCGAGACGGAATGACTCTGCTGTGTCAAAACAACGGGGTGTGACCATTTCTACTTATTTACAGTGCTTTCTTTTCTTCCACAGTAAGTATTTTTCCAAATACATTTAGATCAAATACAGAAAAGCTTACATCTTATAAGGATTGAAGATGTCATCACTTGGCACCACATCTCTCTGTCCATAAATATCACCTATTGCAGCCAGGATGATAACAGGAACAGCAGGGAGAACTAGAAAAGAAGATTCAACGGTCATATATTTATATCATCTTCATGTGCCATGAGGTATTTGTTCAGAAATAGTACTTTACACACTCACTGAAGCCAACCAGGTTCCAAATGTAGGGCTTTGGGGAGGGGTTAAAAACCACGTAGACCAACCAGAAGGTGTGGAACACTTCTATGCCCATCCAAGAGAAGGAGCTGAGCAGGGCATAGTGGAGGACTGCCCCCACCCAGACACACATGCTCTCCCATTCCACGTTGGCCAGGACCGCCGTAAAGAAAAACAGTAGATTGAGGAAGGCTAGGGACACAGCTAGGCCCAGGTGGATGGGTATAGACTGCTCCTTAGATCGCCCCCTGAAAGGAGAAACATGTTAAGTAGGAAATTCAACTGTAAAAAATAAAATTAGAGACCTCTTTTTCAGAAGATTACATAAACCCTCACAAAGTAGAACTGTTACCTTTTTCTGCAGAGAAAAATAATGAGAGCAATGCAGCTGATGAAAGATACAGCGCAGCCCAAAGATGTAATGGCGGTGAGTGCCAGAAGGTGGTGCACTGGTCGAGGCTCAAGTTGCTGCCAGAGAACAGAATACAATTAGCACAGCAACAGGGACTTCATACACCACAGTGTGAGACTGTCTATATTTCCATTTCTATGTATTTAATGTGACTGTCATGAATAACTATTATATTACAATAATAATAAGATCTGTCTGTCTGCATGTCTCACCACCAGCACAGCGAAATAGGTCATATGGTTACACAGACACTCGGTGTGTGTTGCTCGTCTTTGTTGTGTCTTACATCCATCCACCAACCATTTCACCTGCAAAGGATCTGCATAAGAAAATACAAATTTAAACATATGCAATTCCATTTCGAGGAGTTAGGGTCAACAACCAGGAAAATATAGATAGATACAAGTTGAGTAAAAAGGGTTGTCAATAGGTCCAACCTTTCCTGGTGTCCCATGAAACACATTTCCTTGGTTGCACTTTCTGAAATGCAGAAGACAGACATGAGCTCCAATAATTTCCTGTTAAGATGCTGCACACATTTGACTCCTTTTAACAAAGTTTTAAGAGCTCTAAATTCTTAGTGACATTTATTACTTACATCGTACATGCAAAATATGGTTTGCTGTGGGTCACCACATTGCCAATGACAAGAAGTGGTGTCGTAAAAATATAGAAACTAGCAGGTGTTTTTATGGGCTGCTGTGTGCACTAAAGAGAGGCAACAATGTACCGTCCTCAGCATATAGAGCACAATCTGTTGCAAGAAGTAAGGTAAAAAGAAACCCACAAGTGGTTTCTGTGTGATCTCTGCACTGGTGATGTAGACAAGCAGGCGTCACGGAACTGAAAGGCATCTTGTTTTTATTCAACAGCATCCGCTGCTGACACATATTTGCAAGCTAGTCTTATATTTGGTATAATAAGTCTTTCAGGTGAAGGAAAACAGTCAGGGCTGTGCAACATTGGACCATACGGTTCACACAAAATATGTGGACCACCAAACATTTTTACCATTCATTAGTAAACCAAAATAACTAGACTTTTCTATTGTCTGATCCAACTAGCATGTCCTTAAATTTAACAAGAAAGTTTGGACGTAAAGCTTTTGACAAACTGGGCGTTGATCATGCAGATCAAAAGCCCACAAACTTACAGGTACAGCATCGTGGTGAAAGCCAATCCTTATCGGCTCAGAAAGATCAGTGATAATCTCATTCTCCACATTGATTCCCACCACATCATTGAGAACTTTAACCTCCTTGTAGCCCTCCTGGAACAGACAGACACACATCTTTACTTTTCTCTCATATAAGACAGCTTACATGTGTACACACAGAGGAACAAACATATTTTAGCTTGTAAGCATTCCTGGCAGTTGAAAAAGTACAGTGGTCTCAACTCAAAACTTTGACAAAAAAAATGGCAGGAAGACAGGTGCATGAGGTCATCTGACATCTCTGCTTAGTCCTACCTGGAACAAGGAGTTGTTTCGGAAGAAAGTGCAGACTACTTTGTTATTATTTTTTGCAACTTGTTTTAAAGCAGGAGGGAGATGGACAGTGGCAGTAGGCTCTGAAGATTCACCTGTAGTTGTCTGGAAACAGAACATGTACATAGAAAGGATCATGAGTTTGCACAATTAGAGAGAGTGCGCCATGGTTTGGTAACATTTACTTTGCAGTCAATACATAAATCGTGAACCACTAGACATAAATTGTTTAATGACCTCTTAATTATTCTGGTAATTATGCAATTAAAGAAGTCTTTACATCAAAACACACACAAACTCGGAATGACACTTATCACACAACTTGCACCACCGGCAGCTCTGCTTGTGAGTGTGTATCACCACCTCCACTGTTGTAATGAGAAGATCTCCTTCTAGATTGCTGGGTACTCACACAACTGGCTCTATTTTAAGGTAGTTTGAAGGAAAAATGTCAGCTTTCAATATTCAGTCTCTACTTGTCAGTAAAATGCTGCAATTACTCACCTTCATGGGGCTAACCTTTCACCTATTTTTCTGAACTAAACCACCACTGCCCTCAACTTCAATTAACACTCTCTGGGTTGTTTAGAAATGTGCTGCTAAAAAAACAGTGTGGTCTCAATACACTCTTATTGTGACCGCACTGTTGTGGCTTGTGGAGGCAACGTTGTAGCAGTAATGCATGAAAAAGTGAGACTGCCGTTGCTCTATACGTTACTTGTTGGTAACAAATCCCATGCAAAGACTAAAAACAACAGTTGATTGATTTAAATAATAACTACTGTCTGTATATTCAAAGTCTGATATGTTATTCATTTGCACCATAGAGCTTAGGTGCTGTTCACAGTGTGCTATACTGTTGCACTGGGTGAATTACACTGAGCACAGACAGCGTGTTATAATCTGAATAGATCCCCTGCATACAGCACTACTGCTGTAAATACTCAGGAGTACACAAATTCACAGCAATTTCACACTACTGCTGCCACAATCAATTAGATCAAGACTAGCAGGATCTTGGAGTTGAGTAATACATAGATGCTGGTGAAGTACTAAATTATGAGACGGTCTGATACACTGTTAGCTTTAGTCTGTTCATGGTATTTGTTGGCAATTGGATTTAAATTCAATAAATTAAGTTGTGGCATCTTTTAACTCTTTTATGTCTTACAGGTGATATGATGTTGGAGCCTCTGAAACCTTCCTTCATCTCCACCTCAGCTCTATAAGCGCAGGGATGTTCAATGCTCTTCATCCTCGTCACAGTGTCTTCAAGCCTAAACACAGACATTTACACACCCCACCATGATTTGAAGTTAAAAACTCTGGTTTCAGATGTCTAATTAAAAGGAGCAAAGCTGTTTTTGCAGCTCCCACCCCAACTCTAAGCTTAGCTTCCTGCTTTTCTTTAAAGTTTGTGTACTTGATTACATAACTTTTAAAACAGTAGCATTAGCAATCAAGACAAAGGCATACGAGGAAGGATGTTGTCAAAAACACCCTGTCATGATGTGTCTATAAAGGTTTGATGGTGCATTTCAGTACAGATGAAAGACAACATTTGAAAAAGAGAGAGGAAATTACTTGTCTGAATAGGTGGATTCCAGGCTTACTTGATCACATAATGCTTCTGCAAAGAAAAAGAAAACGAGCACAGCTTTGAATCTGACGTACAACAAATTGTAGCAACGAAGCAGAAACCTGATTGAAATCTTAAGTTCATGTTGTGACTGACTCACACATACTTTAATATACTAAGCTGATCAACAAGAAATGTTAACAATATGAAAAAAACAAATTTACTGGAGCAGAACATTAACTGAAAATGTATTTTTGTGCAATTAGCAAAACATGGATCTTGCTAAACATATTTCATTTTCTGCCGATAACATCCATTATTTCTTACTGCATTTGGTGGACCTTCCTCCAAAGTTATAGGCTGTCTGTATTTTAGCGGTGATAACGTCATTTCTAACCATTCCATTCATGATGCCATACTTGGCTTTAGCTGTGTTGGAGCCATGACTTAGATCAGTGCAGCAAGTGTCCAGCAGGCTGCCAGGCCAACACAGAATAAGACTGTGTTCTCCAACCTGTACAATAAAAAAATGAAAACAATCATCATAACAATCTTCAAAAATAAAGCTAGTGTAGCAAACACATACTGTACATATTTTCATTTTCATTTGGTAGTATTATGACTCTAACATATTTCATGTGAAAGCATTTCAGTACAACGCATTGCTATTTCAATTTTTCACTTTCAGAACTGATACTCCAGTTACCAAGAAAAAAATAACTTGGTAGTTTTGTTTTCAACCCTTCCACCCTTCTACTGATGTGTCCCTCTCACATTGAGTCAGTTAAAAACAGGGAGTCTAGATTATATTAGCTTTTGGATATGAGAGGTGGGGACCTCTGGTGGGAAACATAATCCTCAAGAAACCTCATTTCAATTTCCTCCTTTCTGATTTACCTGCAGCTTTAGCTGGTCCAATAATGGCTCCCAAAACAGACAGAAAGGACTGTCCTCGACTGAATCAAGTCCAAATTGGTTGAGGGGAATTACATCAGATCTCCTACACTGGGCTGTGATCTTCCCATGGATGGACAGAGAGCTTTCACTGGCTGAAATCGAGATCCCATCACAGCCTGTAGAGATGTCTATGTTCAGGCTCAGAGAGCCCTTGCCATGACGCCACGTGCCACAGAAGTCCAAGAAGAGGTCATTTTCACTTGAACCTGCTAAGATACATTACATAGTCAGTCTAAATAGGAACTGTGAATGGTAACGTGAAAACCCACAGATGAGGCCACACTACATAAAAATGTTCAGTACACAAAGGTGGTTTTACACAGTTTATGCAGTGACTGGCAACAGTCTGATGGCTGTAACAATGGTAAATTAAAGATTTAGTAAAACAAGCCTGTTTTAAACCTGTGAGAGCTGAAAAAAAAACCCTGTGTGTGACAGTCACAGCTTTCACAGTTTGAATGTTTAGTTTCTGGACATGATGAAGAACACAGGTTGCACAGACTTACAGAGTACAATTTATAACAACGGATATGATTTATTTATTCAAATGCTTAAAGCTGTATTGACCATCACTGGAGCCCATCTTAACTTGCAACAAAACACTGTTCTTCGTTTATTAGCACTTTGATTGCCTATTGGCCACAATCAGCAGTGACATTCAGATGTAATCAGCATATTTCCAAAATCTCATTATCTGTCTCATAGAGATGGGCAGTTTCTGAAGTTTCTAACTTATATTGTTTGTGAATGTCTCTTTTTGATATCTCTACCCATGACAACATACAGTATAATTTACCACATGTAGATGCAAGCACAGTGAAGCTATACAGTTTTAAATGAACAAACTAACATAAAAGTATGTTTCCCATGTGGTTATCTTACCAGTGAAGAGGAGGCTGATCAAGAAGAACATAATCTTCAGGCTATCTGTTGGTTGGCGCTCCATTGGTAACAACTGCCACAGAGAAACAAAAACTGAAATACAGTTGCAAAAGAGGAACAAATTTATGATTTATTACTACATAAGAAGGAAGAACCACAATTTGCACAGCAAACAAGAAACCCCACCCAGCTGCTGATAAATGAAAAAGCAGCGTGCATTCCCAGCCAGTTTCTAACCATAAAAGGAACATTTTAATGCAACACAAGCATACGTTTTACATTCTTACTATGTGCAGACACACATCCTAAATAAAGAAAGGTCTCTAAAGGCAGCACAAGTTTGACATAATAAAACATTTTTATAATGATACCATTCTTATCCAGACGCCTAGTTTGTCATTTGTACTCTCGTATCAATGAATACAAATGAGTTCAGGCTCAAAATACACACAGGAGGCTTTTCATGCTCTTATCAATGGAAACAGTCTTTCCTTTAACTGGCATGCGCACATATGCGACAGTAAGTTACTCTGTCCTTCACCCTATACCAAGCTGCTTGTTCTTGCTTCAAGGGTAAAGGAACTGCAGTATTTAGAGTTTTAAAAAAAGAGTATAATATAAAGTTCCTTAAAAAAAAAAAAAAAAAAAAAGCCACCATTTTGCATCATATTACTTGCTAACTGAGTGTTACCAAACAGATGCGTCAAATTGCCACACACATACACACAATTTTAACAATGAAGTCAACTTATCCCAGACAGTTTTCATCACACAGACTTTGAAGGTTTACTTAATGCCTACATGATAACCCCTCTGTGGGCTTTGTCAAAGCACTGACACATTTAGCAATGTTCTCAACTTGTAATCTGAAAGCTAACATACATACATCTGTGACTACATGGAGTACAGCACGCATGACAGTGGGAACTTGTGGTGAGAGATGCAGACGATGACTTTAGTAAGGAAACACAACAGTTGCGGTTCTGCTCAACATCACAAGACAGACAGGAACTGGTTGAAGCACAGACAATGCAGAAAGGCAGCAACAGAAGGAAAAGACAGACAAAACGCAGCAGAGAGAAGGAAAAATATCAAACTGCACAGACTGGGGGGTCAGTTGGTTATGTACAACTATGTACGCTGAACAACACACCTGATACATGAGAAGGACCTAAGCTTTTGACTACCACACAGCAACACAGAGACAGATTGATAAACAAACACACACACGTATGGATGTGTGCGCACACAGAATGTTTGAACAACACAGAGCGACAGGCTACGATTCATTGTTGTGACACTTAAACAGGTGGTATTCAGCAATCCTAACTAACCTTTATGTGACATAATAGTTAACTAATTACTCTGCTAATAGTAATCTTTTAATAAGCTGTCTGGAAACACCATGCTGCAAGACAGAAAAGAACCGAGTTGTGTTAAGATCTTTTCTTTTTTTTTTTTTTACAAGTCAGTGTTTTTAAAACTTTTGTGTGTATTGTACTATTTGGTTGCATTACAAACAGGAGTGTCACTGTGTTTAGTAAGGGAGGATGCATAAACATTAGAAATAAATGAAACACATCAAGCTTGGTCTAGCTAAGGCTAGTTGTCAGGCCTTAAGCCCAAGCACTTGCTTAACTGAATCATATCCAGTGCTTAACAAATTTATTAGACCACCTGTTATAAAAACGAGAAAACTTGAATATTTTAGAAATCTTTCAAAACTTTGTTTGAAACTAAAAATGTTTTTGTTATTTATTTGGCAAATAAACTGAAACAACTAAATAGTCCTTTTTCATCCATCCATCCATCCATCCATCCATCCATCCATTATCTATACACCGTTTAATCTTCACTGGGGTCGCGGGGGGGCTGGAGCCTATCCCAGCTCACTCAGAGCACCAGCCCTTTTTCACACATTATAACCAAAAAACTTATATTTCTTATGGCCTCCCTTGGCCTTGATAGCCACATATAGACAGTATACCAAGAAAGAAGTTGCCCGGAAGGAAACAAACAAGTGTAGCCCACCCATGTACAGCAGGTTACAAGTGTGAACACACTTCTTTTTTTTTCTTTTGTGTCTGTGTTAGTCACATGAGACACACAGGAGTTAGTACTTGATTGCATAACCATTGTTTCTGATGACTGCAGAGATGCGTCTTGGCATGCTCTCCACCAGCTTCTGACATTGTTCTGCTGTCACAGCAGCTCATTCCTGTTGCACAAATTCAAACATATTTGCTTTGTTTTTGGGCTTGTGGTTCTCCATTTTGCACTTGATGATTTTCCACAGATTTTCAATTGGATCAGATCTGGTGACTGAGCAGGCCAAGGCATGGTTCTAATGTTCTGGTTCTCCATCAAGGCTTTAATTGACCTTGCCGTGTGGCAAGGGGCATTGTCTTGTGGAAATATCCAGTCATTCGAGGCATGAAAGAGTTTTCCAGCTGATGGAAGAAGACTGTTTTCAAAAGTAGCCCTGTACATGACCTGGTTCATTGGCCCTTCACACAATTGCATTTGCCCTGTTCCACTCATACTGAAACAACCCCAGATCGTCACTGATCCACCTCCATGTTCTACTGTAGGGGCAAGACAGTCTGGTTTGTAGGCTTCTCCAGGCTTCCTCCTGACCAGTAAGTTGGCTGAAGAGGGCATCAACTGAAAATTGGATTCATCACTGAAGAAAACTTTAGCCCAATCACCAACAGTCCAATCCATGTGATCCCCAGCAAAGAGTAACTGGACTTTCATCTGCCTTTCATTGATGAAGGGCTTCTTCCTGTCCTGTGTGACTTCAGACCAGCTTCAAGAAGTCGGATTCAAACTGTCCTTGCTGAATAAGTCACATTTCTCAACATTGCCACTCATTTTTAAGACTCCAGGAGGTCTGACGACGAGTCCTGACACAGGAACTGATGAGTACACAGTCATCTCATGGGGTAGAAAGACGTTTCCTGCTACGACCAGCTAGAAATTTGGTAGCACCATGTTCGACTTGTTTTCTCTAAGTGTAATAACTGTCTTGGAAATCTTCAGTTTTTTCTCTACCTGTCTCTCACTCACGCCAATGTCCAGCAGTGCCAAGATGGCTGCCTTTGTGTCGCCACATAATTCTTTTGTTTTAGGCATTATGTGAGAGCTGACAACTTCTGAGTTGTGCTGTGGCATGAATGTAAGCAGGAAACCACTCTAGGCGTTTCCATGTGCAGTTCTGCTTATGGCATGAAATGGCCTCTTATATACCCTGGAATACCCTACAATTAAGCTTAAAGATGTTAAATAGGACATAAAGTATTATGTAATCAGCTGCATTTTTGTTGTGTTCATGGTATTCTTAAGGTAATATACCTTCAGTGGTACCAGGCATTAAAATGAACAAGAAATTGAAAAAAACAAGTGTGTAAAAGAGACAGGCCCTCCAACCCTTGTGATCTCCCTGCCTGTTGCTTTGCATTTTTCAAAGATTCCCGTCCCATTTCTGCATCATACACGCGTCTGACTCACTCGCCTCGATGAATCATCTTTGCAAGTTTTGTCTGACTTCACACACTACGGTGTGACAGCCCAAATAATGTGTGACACATACAGCAGATAACAGTGGCAGACATAGTGGACAATGAGCCAACTCTGCTCAGTGATGTCTGAGTCATTTAAAGATTTATGAAGGTGCAGCATGTCTATCTTCATTTTTAGCTATATTAGCAGTAATGTTTGGTGGTTTTGACTTAAATATTTGAATAAGTATTGTGGGGCTGGAGGATAAAGTGTTTAATTTCTGCCGATACTAGTAATTATTTAACATTTTCAGGGCTTAAAGTGAAAAATAATCCTGAGCCTGAATTTTTTTGCTTTTGGGTGGGGGTACAATCTAGCTAATTAGTAAGATATTAAGAAATCTGCCTTCCCAGACTCAGATTACAGATTATAGTAATGTCAGTAGTAGTTATGCCAACCTAGCATAGCGTTAGCTAACAGCTTTAAAGCCAGTAAGTAACTGCAGAAAAAATATAAGTGTACAAAATATTTGAGAGTACAGAATGATCGTTCATCACTCTGTCAGCTTGTTTTTAATGTTATCATTTTTAATTCAAATGCTAAAGGTATGTTTCGGGATAGCAATTGTGATCTCCGAATATTCCCCCCCAACAATGAAAATCACAAATAAATACATTTATACACAAATAAAATAAATAAAGATAAAGGTGAAACTGTGGCACCACGCTAAGGTTAAGGTTCCACCCAGGATCAGGTGTCAATAGATGGGGACCCTGTGCTGGTCTCTGTGCACACCCTGACATTAAGTCCGTCAGCGCTTGGGACAGGCCATCAAGGGTGTTAGGATAACTGTTTTGTGGCTGGATAAAGCAGGAGGTTTGAGGGGAGATAAGGTGCAGATCAACCTGGTGTTTATTCACTGACATTAACATTACAAAAACACAAACAGCAAACAAAAAACCAAAGCAAAGCAGTTAACTGGTGGCATGTGTTGTGGCACTCCTTCCCTCTGCTCTTGCTCTCACTCAACTGCCAGCCTTTTATAGGCAGCCCCTAATTACCCCTCAGCCCCCTACCAACATAAGTGTTACCCTAAAATAATCAAACACAAGAAATACACAAAAATACAATATATCTTTACCTTTAACTATAATAACAAACATTAAAACTCAGTATTTATTTCCTAAAAACGACTACCGACATCCTCATCAAGCAATGTATTTATTTTATCACCTGATAAATTAATATTCACCCTCTGCTCATCTACACTTGGTTTCTACTGGACCCTTTAAAAAGGTGTTCCACTCTTGGCTGGAACACTTGAGAAGACAAAAGAGAGGTGAGTCATCTCCAACATTTCAATTTACACATTGTTAAAATAATGTCACATACCCATTTCTATAGTGATTCAGTTATTAAGTCCAATCACTTAATCATGTTACTAAAACTTTTATTTTCTTTGTCTTGTCGGCCTCACCAGGGTTTTCACCCAGTGCTGTGAGGAGAAGCCATCAAACAGCACATGGCAGCACATGTTATCCCCAAAGCTACACTTATTAAAACTATCCAACAGTCACTGTCTTGTGTGTTATTAAATCTTTATCCCAGAATCTGAACTCCCATATATGTAATGAAGCTGACCTTCATTACAAACGGGTTGCCGCTTAGGGATAGGTGGTGGTTGATAGAGGGTTCTAGAGTGTTTTTAGACAATGAAGCCAATTTCGCAAGGGCAACCACTGTTCTCTGCTCGCCACAGCCTTCACCCAGGGAACGCTGTTGGTGCAGACGGAGGTTACTACAGACTAGCATGTTTCAGAAGCACAGAAGCCACAGGAAGAGCAATGGACGGTGAAGGTCGGTGCTCTATTCAAAATAATACGATAGGTTGCTTATGAATCAGACAGGGAGCAACCTTGGAGCTTTTTCAAGCAACCAAACTTTGCATGCATGTGCTTTTATGTTAATTTGCATCAAATGCACTTATAGTAAAATTTCTAAACATTCTCCACTGTTTTCTTATGACTACTGATGAAGTGTGGATCTATCAGGCCGAATGTATTGCAACAAAATTTTGGGGAGACATTTACTGTCATAAGAGGGAAATGCCTTGTAACCCCCGTCGTTTATGTTACTGGCATCCTAACATTTGTATTTATTTGGCAAAAAGTCTTAAAAACTACTGGGAAAGCACTCAGACAATAAAAGTTAATGACTTATGTGATAACCAGAATTCTTCTCTAGTGCCATTATGAAATTGGTCTCTGGCCATAAAAGCCAAATAAAGATAGTTAGGCAGTAAACATCATACAAAAACATGCTAAAATCAGTAAGTTGGTATTGCCATTTTGAGTATGTTAGCATGTTGATATTAGTGTTTAGTTCTGTTGCTTAAATAGAGCCATGCAAAGTTTTAACTGACACACACCATCTCGTGGTGATGACAAGGCTATAGTTATTTAAACTGCCAAGAGTTTTACTACAAACAATAACAATTATACTTAACTGTGGTTTCTATGAAAAGGCTGATTTGGATTGAAGCTACACATGCAGCATCGATCTTAATTTTAAACCCTGTAAACTTTCAGGAACTGTTTTAGAACGGTAGCGCACCTTTAAAATACCACTTCCTGCCCTTGTCAAAGATTTTAAAGCACCTGAATGTCATTTTCTAAAACTGCTTTATGTTCCTGTCCCTCTATGTTGGTGACAGTATCAATACTTTCAGTGCAGCAGTTTTGTTTTGGATTCAGCTGCAGCTTGCAAATGGAATTTTAAGTTCACCTAACAACAAAGTAGACCAGATCATTGTGCTTCCCCCATTTACAGCAGACAGAAGCTGCAGTTTTGGGACTGAGTGGAGTTTTCTGTCTACATTTAGCCCCTGTTCTCTACAAGCAGCAGAGTGAAGCAGCAAAGAATGCGCATGGAAGAGTAATCCAAGGAACAAAAGCTGCTCTTTGTTGTCAGGCTTTGGAGTTGAAGTGACAGTGAGCATGAATAAGGGTCAAAGATCACTGGCTGGTTCCTAGGCTGTTTGCCAATAGTTAAAAGACAAAGACACACACACACACACACACACACACACTTGCAGCTCTCACTGCTAAGTGTGGCAAAAATTAAATGTGAGGTATAAAGGTTAATAACTATATTAAAAATTTTAATTTTCAAACAAAAACTCAAGCGCCTGGTATAAGGTTCAAAATGTCTCTATTAGAATTTATTGGATTAATTACCTAGCTCTTTAGAGTTTTCCTTTGAGAATAATGGAAGAATCAACTGTATGGTATTACATACTGTAAAAAAAACAATAGCTGCCCTGAGGAAACCTGCCAAGGAAAAGCCTTTTCTCACATTTCTTCTAAGGAAACACACTGACCTCACATCTTTTTGCTCAAGGAACTGCAGTGATAAGATTGTTCTGTGATACAATGTTGTTCACTGCTGCCAACATGGCTACATGGTAAGATTTTTTCAAAGTTTGTTTTTCCTGAGTCACATTACAGGACGCCACTGGCACGCTATGGCTGCTGTAGTCATCTTGGTTTACAACACATAGTATTCACGGTGCACGACTTGTGTGTAAAAACAACAGTCACTCTCAGCAACTCCGGTGAAAGTACCTGAAAGTGAGACTTCTAGAAATCTAGCTGAAAGTCTTCACTATAACTTGGGCATTTTCGCATCATCTTGTGAAACAAACACAAAAATAATACCTGTGTCAAAGCAAGAATGAGAGGAATATGTCTTTTGCACAGCAATGTTTCAAGTTGAAGTGGAAGACCAGTGTAATGTGGCTGATGTGGAATGCTCCCTAGGCTACACTTGTGTTAGGAGCTTGCATACTTTGTGATAGCACTGTAGTGATGCAATGTGCACGTCTGTGCATGTGTTTATGTGTGTGTATCTTGAAGTCTTCAGTGAGGAAATTGGAGAAGCAGGTGGAATGCTGATATTTCCTTTGGGGCGATGAACAAATCAATAGAACAACACACACACACACACACACACACACAAAAGCCAGCACATTATTAGGCCTAAATCACCCCAGTGTGGCCTTAGGTGAGGGTAACAAGGTTTAGTCTGCATGCTTTCTTTTCCTCATTATGAAACCTTAAGTCATCACAAAGGAGAAGGGTTTCTTGTAATGAGTCACACATCTTCTGCATTATTTGCATTTCAAGAAACGAAGCGCGTCGAAAAAAATCCCTCGTGTGTCATTCATGCACTTTCAATTTCAAATGCTTTGCTTTGTTCTGCATGTGCCAGTTTACCAGTGTGCTAGGACAATGCCGTGTTTCACGCTGGGTTTGTGAAGTCTTTTGATTTTGCACCTTCTCACAGTGAGGAAACCATACACCACGACTGTAAGGAGAGCGAGGTAGGTACATGAACTATAAAGTTTCTGTTCTCTGACTTTGATGTGCGCCTTCATGCACCATCATCAACCCAAACATTACCTCTTAGGCTTACAAGCGTGAGGAAAACAGTACAACGGCCATGGTGCATGCCGTAAACAATAAATGAATGCATTCATGACCCTCACATGCACATGGGAGGAACAATTCTCAATGCTATAGTAAAAAAATAATGCGAGATAAATGAAATAAACAACACATTAATTATGGGGCTTCGGCAGTTTAACAATAAAGGATTGCTAACCCGGCATGTTAATTATTAATTTTTAATTACAGATAGCCTGATCAGACCTTGAAAAGAGAGTGTGAATGACATGGTAAGTCCAACAGATTCATAGCACAGTCAGGGTCGCCTCGTTATGTTACAGAATAAATAATAATTACTTGTATTTTTAAGAAATAAGAAAATCAGAATTTAACAGTGACAGCATAATTTGAAGAAACGTTCAACAATGAAGGTGCTAGAGAATATCAGACATGTAAAAATGTATTTTTTATAGCATCATAAAACGTAGCCCTAGCTTGTAGCAGTATGATTAGCGTTAGTATTTTCTCAGGGTGTGTAGGTTTACCTTAAGTAGTTGTATTGTGAGGTTTCTGTCTCCTCCTGCACACAACAACACGTTGTGATGTCCAGAGTCTGCAGTTCAAAGTTTTTCGCTCTGTTCCACACAAAAAGGGTCCAGTAAGAAAATTAAAAAAAAAAAAAGTCACCAAACGTTACAGACCGCGGCGACAACTTGGAGTGGACTCTCAATTCCAGTCAATCAAGTAAAAGCGACGCAGGTTGACCAGACGCAGGGGAGAGGGGAATTAAAAATCGTCTCTTGCAGTTTTCAAACAATTTTGTCCGTCTTCAGCACAGTTGAGAAAATTGAGAAGTTTTAAAAACAGAAAGTGTGAAGTAGAAGAAAACGCCGTACTGAGGCGTGAACCACAGCCGCCGGGCACGTTCCTACTCACGGACAGCGTCAGTGAGCAGACGGTAGCGCTTCTGTCAAGCTTACGTCAGTACAGGGACGACTGCTTCCGCTCACGACTTTCACATTCAAAAAAAAAAAAAAAATCCCCAGCTCAAACATGCATTTGACTAAGTCAGCAGACTGGTGTGGAATTTCCAATATATGCAGCTTGACATATTGTAGTTAGTGGCGGTTGGTTAATACAGCGCAACTATAATGACCAGATAAAAAGTAGTTCTTAAATACAATATTAAATTTGAATTAACTACAACAAAGTAATAATAAAATTAGTAATAAGGTTCATATTCTTTTGCCACATTAACAATATTTGTATTATTAACAAATTTTAAATTAGTCCTTACTGCCTGTTTATTAATTTTAAACTTCCTGGATGCGCGGCGCCGGCCACATGACTGTGTGTGTAGCTCGAAAATTTTTCGTGATCATGTGACCTTGGCCTGGGCTCTGATTGGCAGCTGCAGATTTTCTCACGGGGCGCAACTCGGTGCGTCCCGGACCCTCCCACTTTTGCTATAAGCCAATTTATTTTGTCTTTATTTGCTTTTGTCTTCTGTGGTTGGATATCAAAACTGTCCTTTTAATAAGGGCATTTTATGTGATATTTCACAAATCTGCCAAACTAAATCGTTACCAAACAATTTCTTCAGCAATATGTTTGTAAAGGTGTGTAATAACATGCTTTAAAATGTTGAAGATGTTGAAACCTGAAAAAACCTGCTTAGGTTAGGGTACCGATAAATGATTGTCAAAAAATCTATTTTTTAAAATTGGGCCTTAAGTAACTTATGAGGGGTCAAATCAGGGTTTTTCATGATTCTGAGTTGACTGTTAGCATTTATATTTCACCATGGTAACTCCATTGTTGAAAAAGGCCACACTCACTTTTACATTTGCATTCAAAGTAGCTTTAATTTTGCATATAAAACTCAGAGTTATTTCCCATTCACAATGTCAGAAGTTTCAAGAGTCATTGTCTACGTCTTCTTCAGACTCAACAACGTCATGACTGCAGTTTCTGCATGTAATGCCTTTGCACACTCCACAGGCCGAGATGCTCGTGACCCCATTCTTCTTGCAGCTGCACCGCCAGTTGCTGCAATCTCCATGTCAATTACAGCTCGTGAACTTCAGTAGCTCCTCAGGAGCCATGGGGTCCAGTGTTGGAACTAGCTCATACTCATGCACACCTAATGTCCATCCATAGTCACTGAGGTTCAGAGACATGCTCTGTAGAAGGATCCAGTCCCAGGTCTGCAGGTAGGCACTGAGTGAATACTGTGCAGCTGCACCCTCCATTGGAAGTAGAGCCTTTGGTTTGATCACTCCTGCTGCCGCCTTCATTGAGAATATGTTGTACCAAATTTCACCCAATGTAGTATCTGATCCATGATAAATGTACTGGAAAATCGCAGTACCAGTCTGAATCACTCCCTTCTTGGTGACTTCTGTGTCAAGGAAGATGTCCATGTACTCATCCACGTCCCCTGCACAAAACCTGGAAAAATGCACCAGGTTTGGGTCAAGTATAATGTGAAACAGAAATACATTTATTATTATTTTTAAGATTTTTACTATGACAATAATGCTGATGATGATGATGATGATGATGATTATTATTATTATCATTATTATTATTATTATTATTATTTGTCAAAGAAATAGCAGTAGTGTAATTATTACCTGTCAGATAGAGTTGTTTTCCCATGGCCAGCAATTGCAGAAACCGTATCACATCCTGTGAAGGCGTGACAGAAGAGCAGGTAGCCCTCCTGTCTTTCAGAGAGAGATTCTTGGATCTCTTGGGCGTCTTAAGAGCCGTTTGATGTGGTTAAGAAGAATCTCTCATGGTTTCTACAATTGCTCGAAGTAATAGCAGTATTATCATCATTACCTGTCAAATAGAGTTGTTTTCCCATGGCTAGCAATCGCAGAAACTGTGAGAAATTCTTCTTCATGGTTTTTTCAGGGTTTCCCACAGGAGTTGAACTTCAACATTTTTAAACATGTTATTACACACCTTTACAAACATACTGGTGAAGAAATTGTTTGGTAACGATTTGTTGGCAGATATTCATATATTTCCCTTACTACTTGAAGCTCTTCCGACTGCGCTTTAAATACATATCTGACACCATCAGGCCTTTCCCCTCGCGCTTCTACTAGATGACAGCTACTGTCGTGATGCTGTGAATGGAGAAGACGCTGCTCACAGAGATGAGTGACTTCAACCAAAAAGTAATAGAGAAGTTTGCAGAGCAGAAAGAGAGAAGAGACAAGATTAAGTTCAATTAGTAGGGCTCCAGACTGCATTTGGGATCTTTTTTTGGGGGTGTGTGAATTGATGAGCATGATAATCATGAAGCTGTATTAGTGTCGCTGTAACTGGCACAGGAAGCTACTGTGTAAATCACACTGGTGGAAAATAGTACTTTTATGACTTCGGTGTACTGCAGTATTTACGCTAAAAATGAGGTCTTCTTGTGAAAAACAAAGCGCACCTGCATTCACTGTTTTTCCGCTCATAGAAAAGACCGCGAGTAGAATACATGTAACTCGGTTTAATGTTTGACAAATCTGATCTGACCCTAGTTTATTATTTTTAAAGTCATTTTTGGTCGCACACCTGTCAGAGCACAACACAGCTACCAAGCCGCATCTACCACAGCCCGCTATGTGGGGTGTTTAGGGAGCATCAGTAAATCGTAGCGTCTATCGATAAGAAAACGTTCAGCAAGTCATACGTTTTGTGTGTGACCAGGCGGGAGCTGCAACAAAATGTGAAAGTGGGTTGTACTGGTGCAACTAGTGAAAAAGTTAGTCTGGAGCCCTGAATAGTGTTTTTCTTTTTTTTTTTTTCATTATTTATGTTGTGTGTTTTCCAGTTTGTACAGATCCTGTAAATACTGATGAACGGTTTTGAAATTTAGTTCTGGGAAGTCTTAATGATGTTAAATTAGATTATGATTAGAATATCCTCCAAAGGTAGACAGTTTACATTCCTGTAAATAGTTGTGCCTGATGTTACTCATATTCTAATTTCTTATTAGAATAAAAGGTCATTTGCAGACTGCGCCCCTCCACCAAAAATTTTCACCAACCGCCACTGATTGTAGTGTATTGCTATCATAAACTGTATGGAAATGCTAATGTTGACGTGTTACAGTAAAGGAGTCTCAATTGCTTGTTTCATTTGGGTTAAAATAGATGATAAAAGGAGGGTTTGCTTTAGAGCTACCTTGTGATTGACAGGCTGCTACCTTATAAGCAGGCACAGTCTCGCTAAACCAGCACAGTCTGCATAACAGAGCAGTCTGGCTAGGCTACACCTCATTATTATTCTCCTTTTGTGTGAAAAAAAACTTTTGTTTGTCGTTCTTTAAAACAGTCACAACCATTCTGGGCGAAGATGAGTTAAGAATGTAGATTTGGCATTCAGCTAAAGTAGCGATGGGAGAATTATTTTGGTGGAACATTTGCCTGCAGGCTGGCGAGCACTGTCCATAAAATGGTTAATTTACAAAAAAAGAAGAAAAAAAAAACTAGCAGGGCTACCTTACCACTTGACCCAAGCCTCAGCAAACTTGAACATTTTGTTGTGCAGGTTTGTGCTTAGAGGTTGTTGTTGAAGATTTAGAAAACGGTAACATGCAGATGACAGTCAGAGAGGAGAAAGCCGCATTAAATGTGCAGCCAATTTTGCAGACTTTTTCACTTTGCCTACTGTTGTTGAGTTAGAGTACTCTGTGTATAGTGTCCTTGAGTTTTCAGTCACATCTTTGCTCATCATGTCCAGTCTCAAGATACAATGGCCAGATTCCAAACTTGAGGCTTCAGAACTGTTGTCTACATACCAATGGGTGATGTCACACTGGCTATGTACACCTTTAAATACAGTCTGAGTACCATGTCACTTATTGTGCCTGTTGTGGAAATTTTCTATGATCTATATAAAGTCCAGTAGTCCGAGTTGTCTTTGTCTCGTTTTATTCAAAGCTTTGAAGGTACAAGTCATGCAGAATGCAAGCAGTCTGCAGGAGAGTACACATGAGTCCAGGCAGCATAGTGTTCTTATACATGTACAGGCGTGGTCTTTACTCCAACGGTAGTATAACAATCCCATGCTGGAAAACAACAGCTGGGTGTACAGGGTGTACTCATTCACAGACGTTAGAAGACTAAACACGCTGGATCAGGCATCAAAAGTCTAAACACATGGGATGCACAACTTCTTCTTCCCATGTACAGCCACTAGTGTTTACCTAGATGTTATGAGAACACATTTTGGGCCTGTAGCCTTTCCACTCAGCTTTAATGAAACTTAGAGAAACTTAGAGAAACTTGCTTTGATATTCTTCATGCAGATGCAGTATTTTTCCATTACAGTGCCTCTTATATTTTCTTGTAATAAACTACTTTTTAAGCAGACTAACACCTTAGATGACCATTTTTTTTACATATACATTTACTGCACCTACAAACATACTTGTTTTGCAAGTTCATTTTGAGCCAAGGTGAAACCTATTCTTCAGTACCTATATTATTTTAAGCAGTTAAAGCCACTAGTTTTTCAATTCACGCTATGATTAACCAAATCTGTGCTTTTATTTTGAAATAAGAGTATTCCCCAGTTTAATCTACTGTCTGTGCCTCAGCCACAGACAGACTCACTTGACAGCATTTAAAGCAGTCAGGTGTTAAACTGCTGGTGGGACAGGGAGACTGGCCGGAAATGGGAGTACACATAGAGAGAGTGTAAGTGAGAGTGCAATCAGTCCCATGACTTTATAATGGTATTCTAAATTAAAGCAGTCAAATCTGAGCATAACATAGCTTTCAGTGTTTGTTTAATAAAGAAATAACCATTTAATATCATTGTTATTGACCTAAAGCGCTTTACGATATCAGGTTTTGTTATCACATCTTCAAATCATCCTAAAGTTGATGGATTCATATGAATTTATATTACTCTGTGTTCTGTGCAGGTCTTGTGGATAGGTTAGACCTCAATTTAGGAT